TGGCCAGGCTTGTAATAAACGCGCTTGTTTTCGTTTGAAGTCGCCTGTTACATATAACCGAAGCGATGACCAAAGAATTTCCCGCGACTATCACAACAGCCAAAAGAAGTACAATACAGCATAGAAGAATCACATGAAATTCAGCCTTTTCTTCCCTCAAAATTTTTTCACTATTTGCCGTCGCATTTTCCATAACTAGATGTCTTGTGCTTTGTAAATCTTAAAATGCGAAAGCGACTTGGGAGAAATTCACGGAGCCAGTCCAAACTGTTTTGTAAGTCTATACGGGTTTGCTGAGATTATGTACATATTCGGCGAAAATGTAAGTCTTATACCCTAATGGTGAGTCTCTTCAAAAATCAGTGCAGCTGTTTAAACAAAACGCTTTTATGATCTTGAAAGACGCATATTTCTCAAACGATTGTGCCTACCCGCGTGTACAGGTTTTCTCAGTTGAAATACGGTTATTTAATTTCTCGGTTCATATGTCCTGTGCCATTAATCTGACTCAACCAAAGTTGAGGTTTCTTATTTCTACAGTCAGAAATAAATTCAATGTGTAATACCCAAAGAGTTGATTTGCTGTTAATGAGACAAAGAGAGAATTAAGACTCCCAACTATTCAACTGTCATCTAATCGCTAACCATCTAGCTTTATGAAACCTTGCGATGTTGTATTCTCCCAAAAACACGTCCTTGCCTTTTTAACAATGCCCCGCGTCAGCGCCACACACCTTTTCTCTTATATTAAATTTCCTCTCGAAAATGCACTAAATCCTTGTCCGTGATAATTTATAAATGTAATGTTGCATAGTTATATGGAAGCATGGAAACAAGTGGGTTATGCTTTCCTGCCACTGAAAATAAATGAACATAAAAAGCGTATTGCAACGCCTGTCATCTGATGTTCAGTATATTATTACCAGACACTTCAAAATCTGATTGGACACTTTTTGTAGGATATGAAGCCACTCGGTCTGTTTCCCGACTTGTAATTGCGTTGAAATTGGTAATGTAGTTCATATCTTATAAATTCAGGTTGATTCATAAGGAAAATTTGCATAATTTTCTAGTTGTTTTTCGCCGTATATATTAAAGAAAGATTCACGGATAAACCTTAAGCCGTACCTATTCATTACTTATGACAGTATTGCAATTGCTTTTGAACGGCCTCTAGTCTGCTATTGGCTGTGTTGGAGGTGATAACATCAGAAACATTAGTTTTCGCAAAGAAAATCGTTTCAAGTTAAATACATTGCCATCAGCTTGCATGTGTTTTTGGCGCATCTGCTTCGTTGGCGATGTACATTTTACATGAAACAAACACTTAAGCTTTTAACTGTAACTTGAAGATCTAAAATCATTTTGAAAGATGCATTTTGAACAAAGGAATTAATGAACATGTTTTTCACGTAGGATAACCAAGCTTGCCAGTCTCTTGATTCCCAGTTATTTTGCGATAAAATAGTTTGGAATGTTTACAATGCATCCTTTTCTGCAGGGGAACTAAGCCTAACACACATTTAAAAAGATCTTAAAACGCACAGTCTAACTGAGATGTTTCGAAAAAGGCTTCGAATGGTGCCGGTCTGTCATGAATCAATTTATTTTGCAGCCTGCGTAGCAACGGAAACGCTCGCTAGGCAGGCTATTTATTTTATGCTAAGTTGGTAGTTCTTAACGTCCTGTGGTCATAAACTCAAAACTGAGCTAGGAATGTAAAAATATGAGAAATTAATTAAAAATTATTTTTTTTTTAAGGTGAAAATATAAAGGGCAATGAGGATATTTCCTCTAAGATTTTCCTCACTGCAGCGATAACTCGTCACCTGCCATCTTCAAATGTTCCTGTCATATTGTATGTGTCACCAGGTTTGTAAATTGTAGCAGTGTTTTAAGGAGGTGTTAACCGCCTGTGCGGTGAATACAAAGCTTATTTTTACTCTTACGACAAGTTTTGATGTGTTATGTTTTGTTAGCTTAATGGTCTTTAAAAAGGTGCTCAATTGTAAGGTATTGGCTGTAATAATAAACTGCGGATTCAGGGAAAAACGTGACCGGGAAATAAGGGGGCGTTCAGACACGTAACGAGCCGTAAAGGCATATTGGGAAAATTGTCAAGATGGCTGTGTCGTCTGGTTTCCATAGCAACCATTTCTGTCTGTTTTACTAGATGTTTTCATGCACAGGCCACCCTAGCTCACTTTGATGGTCGTATCACGTTCAAAGCCGAAAAAAAGTTGTCCTGTTGATCTACCATAATCTTCATGATGGGGCTTACCTATTTACTCCACTTATCAAGAGTTCTGTAATTATCAGGCCTGATCTTTGTGTTATTAATAGAGAGGTTGTTATAATCATGTTTTGAGACAACGGGCAAACTTCAGTTTGTTCCACGTGACCTGGTAGTTTACTGATCATTCTATCGAAACAAAAATAGGTCGTTCCATGTCAATTTCATCCAATGCAAAAGATTAATGTTACACAGTTTTTGTCTTTTCATTTCTAAATTTGAGAAATTGTCAATCTGATTCTGGAGTTTGACGTTTCAGTGCCTAGATTCTTAATCTATTTTTACACCAGTTTCTCAGACAAGAAAATATTGGTTTCGGTAATGTTCTCAAAAGCTGCCTCGGGGCCAAATAGTCTGGAAAATACTTCAGGACTTTGAAACTAATAACATGTATGCAGTTCCTCTAATTGCGCCGGCGCTTAACTATCACGATTGTCAATGGTTTTTAATTACGGTCGTGGCATAGGCGCATTTGCACTGTGGCCTATGGTAATTTACTTTCTCAAAGTAGTAATAAATATAAGTCTGCCACGCTTAGTTTTATAGTGACATGTGGAATGCATGTTTATCAATGTTACTGTCAGACTGTCTGTGCTTATTGTTATTAAAGACTACTACTGAAAAGATTTATTAACGGCAAAATTAAATCGATAGACAAACCATGCTGAGAACTCACAAGGCGAAAGCCAGGCCAAATATAAACAAGGCGCTAGGAAGAAGGAAAATTATTAAATTGGGAATTTCAAGGAAGATTGAACTGTTTAAGTTTTGTGTTTTTTCTACGGCAAGGTCCTTTATTACTTAAGGTATAGTAATTGCTTTCATTGTTTCGCATCGTCTTCTGCCCATAACATTGAAACTTCAAAAGTCGCGGCGATTTTCGCTGATGAGATTTTCGCTGAAGAGTGTTAATAAAGACTGCTTTTGCGGTCTAACCCGACAGTTTTTTTTAAAATCGCGATAATGATAATGGCACTCCAGGTGAAAAAGGTGTTGGTCTTGAAACTCGCCCCACCAAGTGACATTTGGGGAAAAATCCACCGCCAATTTTGCTATTCACCTTCCATTCTTTGCAGATTAAATTTGTCTCCTTTCTGGAAAGGTAGCCATCCAAATTTCTATGTGGAAGAGAGACGAGGAAGGGGGTAACGAAACTGAATATATATAGCTGAGAGAGTGAAACGGAAAAAGAAAAAAAGAAAAAGAATCAATCGGAAATAGATTCGAAAAAAAGCTTACGCGCGAGTGTAAAAAACAAACCAGCAAAAAAAGCCTACATATTTATATCCGATTAGAAGGAAAAATATGCCCTTAGTGTTGGTCTTTTTAAACCATTTCCAAGTTAATTGGCCAAAAACCGGTTTTTTTCGCAGCTCACCAAAGAGTTAAACTCCATGCATTCGAATTTGTCTACATGGATTAATTTTGTTTAAGTCTTATGGTTTGCGAGGGAGACTCCTTGACTGGTCTAGGGGAAGCCGTAGCTTTCATAACAAGCAAGTTGCTGTGGACTGGGGATGACCGTTGCAGCTGAACCCAGTCCATTCACGTCTGGCGATCGTCAGGGTTACCTGTTGGCTTTATCAAATATATCTAGCCGGATGAATCTTTTAAAACGTTACCGCCAAAATGTTTTACCCTCCCCAAGCCTACCTCGAACTTTCTATTAAAATCAGTCAGGTATAGTGCGGCTAAGTTATGGAATGGCCTCCCCAATGAGGTCAGAGCAAAGCAAAGTTTAGCTGTCTTCAAGAAGGGGCTTAAAAAAGTGCAGATATAATTATTGTAGATAGCAATTAGATTATTGGAAATAGAAATGTAATAATTGAATATCATTGTAAATAGGCAATTGTAGATAGAAACCTGTGAATAGTAATCTCTAAATATTTCCGTGCAAAGTCAGCGGGGTAAATGTTTTTAATATCTTCTCGTTATTAATTTTTATTCAGTTTGAGTTTTGTTATACACGACCACATCAGCTACGTACGCTGTAAACTTATCGTGTTTAAATGAAAGATGTTGCTGTTGCCAAAAAGACCTCTTCCTGCTCTTTTCTTCTTCCTCGCTCTTGGTTTTTTTATCCTTTCCTTTTCCTTTGCTAGTGTGATTTTCGAGCTTATCGGGCGTAAAAAACCTGCCTGTTGGCCCTTTTTCACTCAAATGAGTGCAAATTTCGTTGGACTCGTTTTCAAAAATTGAATCGGGTTAGATATGTAGGACGTTTACCAAAGTTTACCAAAGGAATTAAAGGCTGCCCTAATCACTGACACCAGTGTAAGCATTAGTAGTTTCTATCTGGGAAAGGTGATGTTTATCGCTTACAATTAGTCTTCCCAATCTACACTGTAGACATTTATAATCATAATTAGAGCTGCAATAATGCTATCAGTTCAACGTTTCCAAATGTAAGATGTTACGGTTATTCTGTTACTATTTTTTTCATTATTATTGTAGTCATTTTCGCTGAATTACGACTGATAGAAGAGATCTGGTTCCTCGCTTTCCAAATTACTTCTGATAATCTCCTTTTTATCTAAGCCGAGAATTAACCGCAAAAATCTGGGAGCAGTAACTGTGACTAGAATAGGGAAAAAGAATGTTTTTGTATAGAACCAATATCAATATGAATCAATGTGAATATCATCAGTGGCCGTTACATCAATGTAAATCAAAGTATGAAATAGCGATATGAATTTTAAGATTAACAATGACAATTTCAATCAGATTACGGCGGCATATTCAAGGTCTTATTCCTATGTGAGTACTGGAATTATTGTCCATTATTGTTGTTCAAAATTAATTTTCGTAACAATACAATTTGGGTTTCTTAGATTAGAAACCCACATGGATACACTTGCTAGACCACTGCTAATAATCAGTATAGTGTTCTATAAAGGACGGTCACGTGATGATTTTACTCTTGCATTTGTCAAACTGATTTGCAGAACAACCAACCGACTGTAAACAGTATTGAATATTCCCAATAAAAACAACTGCTTCTTCGTCTCTTTATAATTGTATCTTTTTGTACATCGAATTGAACAACATAATATCCTTTTAATCGTCACCGACTATTCAATGAGCTCTTTCATTTATACTTCCGATATGTTGTTTTTTACTTTTGGCTGTTTCGATTTAATAATTTTCTGGGCTCGGGATAAATTAATATAAGCCCGGTAGGTGTTAGGAAGAGGACAAGACGATACAATCTAAAATGATCTGAATATCTAAAATGACATATTCTCTTTATATTCTATTTGATTAAGGGGAAATTGTTAACTTGAAAAAGTTTTGCCCGAGTTTGTTGATAAGAATTTAAGTAGACCCTTTCTCTTAATAATTCTCCGATACGTCCTGCCGTTCACCGAGCACCGATTACCGAGTGTTGATTGTTGTTGTTTTGAGCCTTTTATTCTTTTGAATTGTTAGTACTTCAACTAACACATTCAAATTCTACTCATTATAGCTGCGAATAACATCTGATCAGAATTACTTGTACCGCCATGACGCAAATTGAACTTCTAATTAAGCAAAAGCAGATGTCTGGATACAGATACAGATACTTAAACTATTGAAGATTCTGTTGGATTACCTTCCAGTGCAAAAAAACCCTGATTTCTAAGATGAATAACCGGTAGGTCTGAACTAAGTTCGATTCTCAAGAGAAATGATCCACACCCATTAGGATTTTATGGGTGTGTTGCCAGTTAGAACGGTCTCCACATGGCTTTAAACTAGACAAATCACCCTAGAGGAAAAGTCCTCTATATATTTGAGCAAGGTGAATCTCAGACCGGCCGAGGGGGTATGTTAAACCGTTTATCCTTAAACCGAGGCCGGGTATCGATTACCGAGAAACGCTAGTATTGGAAGTAAAAAGAGTCATCAAAAGAGAAATGGGAAGTATTTGTTCTAAGTTCAGGCCCCAATTGGGTTTCTTTTAATACTTATAAGCTGGACAGTAATTTATCCAATAGATAGCGCTATCCAACTAACGTTTGAACAACCGGGGCCTGAAAGATTTCATTAAAGTACTACATTCGTGGCTTAGTAAAATGTATCAGCATTGAAGTGTCAGGTCCCATACAACAGTTATAGCTTAATCAACGTATTAGACTGACTTTCATTGACTTAATGTTGAATTAGTATAACAGAATTTACAACTATCACGGTATTAAAATATGACTCCTTACAATGACTGGGTCAGCACACGTCGGATTCATCGACATAGCATCTTTTAAATTTAGTTGTTTACTAGTGTGGAATTTTTTTACATTATATAATCTGAAGTGACTCCATGCAACAATACTTTTGAACCTCTTAACACTGACCAAAATGCTCGAGTCAAGTTTTTCATGATTGAGAATTTCACAGCTATCATGATCAAGTTATTGCTTTTCTCAGCTGAAGATAAACATCGCAGCGGAGTTTTCTCTTTCCGTTGCATATTTAGCAAATCATTATAACATTCGACCATACAATGTAAAGGGAAATTTATGTAATAAATACCAATTTTGGTTAGGGAAAAAAAAAATAGCGTCAAACCAACTCGATTAGTCTCTGCTGGACTGAAAATTTTTCGGCGATTTTTATTCAGTTTGGTTCTAAGCTGTGGCTATAAATAAAAGTAACCGAAGCAGGTTGAACAGAGCACCTGTCTCGTCCGGGAAAATTACGTTTGTTTTGCTTGATTGTAATGCTTTAAAAAGTGAAACTAAAATCTGAATCGATACTAATTGTCCTACAGTTAACACACTCGTCTTCAATAATTAGAAATAAATCTTCACCGTGAAGGACACTTATTTTTCACTAAACTGGAAGAATCGAAATTTCACTGCCTAGTGAAAGATCAGATTGCCTTTGTTTGAATAAATACTTTCAAGTTCAGGGGAAACAATTTGCTCGTCCTGGGTTTCTTGTGTGCAAAGCCATTCTAGTTATTTTTAAATCGGAGCACGGTCAGTCTGATCATCATTAATTTTTGGCTAAATCTTTACTAGTTTTGAGGACAGCACCAAATCGTCAGATAAAGATACTGCACCAATTCCGAAATTCAACAACCTTTTTAGCGAGAAAGAGAAAAAAAGTGATGGCGGAACAATCGAAAGGCTTAAAGAGTTCTGTGGTTATACTACAGCTCACGGACTTGGGCGACTTGTGGACAGCAAAAGCTATGTTCGCAGATTGTTCTGGGTAATGGCGTGTCTGGGGGCCTTTACCATGTTTACTAGTCAAGTAATATCTTTGGCTGAACAATATTTGAGCAAGCCAGTGGAAACCTATATCACCATGAAATACGTCAGGGTAAGGACTTGGTTTGACATTTTAAAAAGCTATGAGCGAATATTCCTTAGCAGGCATTTGTGAGGGAAAGGATGGAGAATAGGCCCTTCCACAGTTTTCTTCAGCTTTTAATATGGAGAAGTTAGAGAAAATTTGTCAACGTCGCTAAAAGGAGCGCCTTTTATTTAGTAAACTGCCAAGTTTGAAAGTCTCCTTAAAGTCGCGAAATTTTACAGACATTTGTATGGGGTGGGGGGGGGACAAATGTTTGTTACAAATTTTCTTGCAGAGCTATATCGTCGCTCGCTTAGGGCGTATCACTTTCAAACGTGGCAAGTTTACTAATTTGAGGGCGCTCTTTGCAGTGGTGCCGAAGGATTTTCGTTTAAACTGGCCCATGTCAAAAGTTGAAAAAAATCGTGGAAGGTGAGTCAGTCCCACTTTGTCTTCCGCTTTGGCAAAAGCCTGCCACACAAACAAGTTAGCTCTAAAGCATCGTATTTGCGCGAAACCTGGTAAAACATCCTTGTTTCGTGAGCGTCGTGTGTGCCTCATTTGTGAGGTTTGGTTTAATTTTGCCCCGAGCAGTCGGCGTAAACATGTTAAGGCCAACCCAAATGTATTTATATTTCAAAGGTGTATTGGCATGGATAAGTTCCTCTTAAGGGAAATAAAATAAATAGATTCACTAAAATGTAGCTTTTGTATTTGTGTCAGAATATTAATTTTCCAGTGGTGACAGTTTGCAATCAAAACGCCATTCGCCGAAGCATACTATATTCTAACAACACCGAAATCCTACAAGAGCAGCTGAAACATTTACTTAATGGATCGAAAGGTTAGCTCAAGGAATTGTTAATTATCAGAATATTATCATCTGTATTATATATATATTTTTACTAATTACATCGAAATTAAGCTCTGTTGTTCTTGTGAATAACGTATTCTTGTAGAGCTAAGTAAGGGAGAGATCTCAGCCTAAAGTAATTTTGTAGCTTCCCCATGTAATTGTGGAACAGCTTAATGTTTATTGACCAGAATCGTTTTAGCCTCGTTAAACTCCTAGCCACAAATTCAAGCTGAATTTATTTGCTAAAAGTAGCCTTGTCAGCAAATATGGATTTTAGTCTTGCTTCTTTAAAATTTTCTCAACCAATATTGTACAGTATAAGGCTCACTGTTTGTACCGTTTGTCGCAGTTATAATGCAATATTTTTCAGGAGAAAAGCTTACTGATTTATCATCGTCGAAGTCAAAAAAGAAAGTGAGAAGAGACATCCCTCGAAACCTCAGCAAAATTGGCGAAGAAATATCAGAAAGTATCATTAGCCCATCGAGCACGCATGCGCCTTTGATGGGATCAATCTCCACAACATCTTCACCCAAAATAAACGAAACAAATTCAGATGAGACGAGAAAGAAGAATAAAAAGAAAACGAAGACAAAAAAAACGAAGGGAAATAAAACAGACGAAGATACTAAGGCGAATGGAGAAGGTACGTGAAATTCGCTTAGTGCATTTATTGGAGAGGATTACGGTTTATAATCATCAAATGTATAGAAAAAAGGAGTCAGAATACATGGCTTAAGCGAGTACCACTTGATTCCCTTGCTGGTTAATAATTAGCCAACGTGACATAAGCAGTTGAGTTAATGAATCCCTGATCAGAAGGAAATAAATGGTGTTCTAAATATTGCTCGCTTTAAAATGTTCATATCCTAAAAAATTAACTTTATGCCATCATACTCTGTAGGAGCTCCGCTTTTAGGCTTCGCTATGTGATAAATTTATGTTGTATCGACGTTAAACAAAGGTCGGAGTAATCTATATAATAGATTGCTTTCGTAAGTCTGTCTTAGGATTGCTAAATTAAGACACATATATGCAGAAATACAGATTTAAAGATAGAAAATCCTAAGACAGTTTAATGCAACCAATCAGAAACACGATCGTAGCAGCCGTGGTCCTTTTGTTTTAGATCTTTGCTCCCGACGGGCACAGTCTCATGATCGCTCATTGCGTGAAACTCGAGTCAGGAGTATCTTACGATTTTCTTCCTAACTTTGAAAATTGTCTTATATCGTTTACAGAGATGGCTGATTTTGTGGCGAAGCAAGAACGTGTTCATGTAGCCCTAGCTACATGGTCCGAAGACAAACTAACTAAAATGGGACATCAGTTTAAGGACATGTTCCGAGAGTGCACTTACAGAGGAAAATCATGCATGTAAGTTTTGATCCCGCTCTTTTGTTTCAAAGTGGAAGAAGTGTTCATACCTGTACACTGCCGTACACTGCTGAAGCCACGAAGTTTTCAGAAACCTCAACAGTTTTACTAGCTTTTGTTTTTAAGGCTACGTAAGGACATTGTCTGTACATTGATCTGTTGTATCTTTGGCTAATTAAACAACTCCAGCCTTTTGAGAGTTGAAAGTTCAAACAGTCTGAACAGTTTGTTACTGTTTTGTTATAAGCAAAAGTTAATGTTTCTTAGTGGTGTTGTTAGAAAGATTTTTGTGTCATTTTTGTCTGTTCGTAGCTATAGATACTAGTTGTAAATTTGAGTTTGAATAAAGTGAATCAGTGAGGATATGATAATCTACTTGTGGTGATCAGCTTATTGGACGGCCTCCCAGGTTTAGCTAATACCTAACCGACCTTTGTCTTGTTTGAACTGTGTATCATAAGCTTCATGTTTCTTTCTTAGGAAAAGTCGGTTTTGGGACTCGTTTTGGCATTATAAATATGGAAACTGTTTCACTTTTAACAAGTATAGCGATCTTATGGCTGCTGGTCCAGGGCCTGCTTACGGTAAGACCCTTATATCTCCATTACTAATTTATGTTTAGATAAATAGTTCTCGACTAACAGATAGCAATTAAAACCTATAGCATCTTTTATTACACCGAAAGAGCAAATGAAAGTACAAATAGTGCGCAGGGGTCAAAGAGGTTCATTTTATAACTGATACATCGAGCTTTCCTGCCAGCCCGCCAAACAGATAAACCATAGCACTTGTTGCATTCTTGGATGCATCTACTTCTATGTTTGTATTGGTTACACTCTATCAGTTTTCAGACGCGCTGTTCCCCGCGCTCTTCCGTCGCTCGCCCTGATGGTTTACATTAAATACAAACAAACTACAATTGTAGGTCTTAATGCAAAACGAAAAAAAATATAAAAAATAAAAAAACAAAGCAAAGCAACACAAAGCGAAAACAAAACACTAAAACTAACAAAAACAAAATAACCACAGCAATAACAAGCATAAAATGTAGCAATAGGTCTACCGAATATTAAAATGGATCTCTTTTGCAAGTTTTCTGGCACATTTACGTGTATTGAGTTCTAAGACAGTCATTCATGCGTAATATGTTTGTGCAGCTTTTTAGTCTTTTTTTTCCCTCTAGGTTTGGTGCTGGAAATGAACGTGGAGCAAAACGAATATCTTGGAGATTTGACTCAGGATGCTGGCATTCGAGTTCAGATCGAGGACAAGGGAAAAGTCCCATTCCCTTACGAAAAAGGATTCAGCGTGGGGCCTGGGTCTGCAACTTCTGTAGGAATAAGAAAGGTCAGCCATGATAAAGAAACCACCCTTTTAGTTTATAACATGTATATTTGAAATAACCGTATTGTATTTTGCTACGATGAAATTATGATTGTTCCTTGTTCTTTGCTACTTTTAGGTGAAAATTAAGCGCGTCAAAACTTCTAAGAAAGGGAGTTGCATTGGAGAAATAGACCCATTGAGCGAAGACAATCTTCTTCAGCTTAAACACAATGCATCCTACTCCACAACTGTAAGTAACTGAAGTATGTAGGTACGAAAATCGGCCCCTGATTGAAGGACAAACTGTTAACGATAACGATATTAGTTCTGCGGTTGGTCTTTTCCATATTTACGCAAGGGGTTTGGTACATGCAAGCGTGGGCATTAAAAATCAAGAAATTACATTAAAAAGCCTAGGCAAGGCAAGGAATCTAAAATGACAACAAATCTCAAATTAAATGCAGCGACGTCGCCCCTGACTTGTTCTAGACATCAGAGCTTGGGCCAAAGTAGCTTGTGAGAGGTTATAGAAGGCCTTCACTACAATACCTGCCACGTGAGTTGCATTTAGCAACAGCAACACAGGTTGTTACAACCGATATAACAGAGTACAGCTGCGCCCCGTCAAACGTTCAGTTTATGCATCATTGACTGGAAATGTCCCACGTCTGGGTATGTACACAACTAAGCCATGGACGTCAAATAACTGTCCTCTTTAAATACTACATTTATGTACAGGCGGAGTGTAAAATTTTGGTGAAGAGTTTTGAGAAAAATATCCACGCCTAAAATTATTTCGTTTGCGAGATGCCACTTTTGGCAAATTCGTTGTTTTGATTAGTTTCCCCCCTTCGGTTGATGAACGTAAAAACTAGGGGTAACTTGATCAGTGTCGTTAAAAACACACTTTTGGCCGGATAAACGCACTAGTATAGTTCACTCTTTCAGTATGAGATGAGCCTGCAATGCAATAAAAATTGCAGTTTATCACTTTTTAATAACTAATTTACGAATTTTTGTGTATATATCTTTGGTTAGGCTTGTAGAGAAAGTTGTCTTTCTGATAAGGAAAATAAAGAGTGTGGCTGCCGAGAATATCGATTTCCTAGAGATGACAGTAAGAACGAGCGCGTTTGTGACGTTCTCAATGCGACCGTTGGTACGTGAAACATAAAGTTATTTAATCAATTTGCCAGCCTCATTTTAGCCAACTTTGTTTAACGTTTAACAGTCTCGTAATATTCTCACAAGTTTGCAAGTGGAAAATACTTTGCTCGGGCATTACAATTAATCCAAACACAAATTTGAATTTGGATTTATTGGCGAGGGAGGAGCTGAGTGTACTATTGTATCCGGAACGTTTTGCTGAAAATATATCGAAACAATACAGCGCACACCTTATGCTGATATGTTACTTTGCAGCAAAATGCTTGAATAAAGTCCTAAAAAGATACAAAAAGTCAAACTTGGGCTGCAGTCGAAAGTGCACCTCACCTTGCAAGTAAGTCTTACTTTTCAACTTTGCTCAACCGGAAACCAAAAAGTAGCTTACTTGTAGCGAATATTAGAGCAATTATTGGGTAAGAGTAATTGCAGATTCACGAGCCAGAGGGTGTAAAATCTGCGCAAGCCAATCGAAGGACTAGATAAAGGGATTTTTTTGCCCCGTTCTTCGAAAAGTAATAGCCGTTCTTCGATTATATTTTTGCAGCCTTTTTATTGCCTTATTATTTTCTTGCAGCGAGAATGTTTATAAACTAACCATATCAACATCGAAATTCCCTTCTTTGGCTTACCAGGTAACAAAGTTTAATTTTATTTACGTTAGTCTTGAGGTCTGGGGCCGATCTGAAGCCAGCTGCTGGTTCTATAGCGTGTTACTTGACTGCAACTGTTGTATTTTGGAGAACATTTACCCAAAATCTTTTCCACGCTTAATCATCTAAAGTCTGGATATGCTGTGAACCAGACTAGAGACGAAAGTTTTCTTTTTTGCACATTTTTTCATCAGACTTTCTTATTCATGTTTTAATTGTGATATATCGTGGTAAATTAAACGCTTCATCCAATGTCTCTGTTTACACTAATGGTCGTAGTCGGAGTCGTAAGCGGAGTCGTAGGAGCGCAAATGACGCGCTAGTGAAAATCAAAAATTGGAGTCGTAAGCGGAGTCATAAGAGCGACGGAATCGGAGTCGAAAGAATCCGAACGTTTCCATTTTCTTCCGACTCCGCTTACGACTCCATCGCTTACGTTCTGCCGATGATCTAGTGAAAACTAGATTGTCGGAGTTGGAAGCAGAAGTGGAAGGATAAACCAATCACAAGCACGTTTCAACGCTTTGTGATTGGTTTAGTTCTTCCGCTTCTGCTTGTGACTCCGACTACCCATGCAGTTTTCACTTGATTGTAAACGACGGAGTCGTAAGCGGAACCAGAAGAATCAGAACGCTGATTTCACTAGATCGTAACTTAAAGTTCTACGCTTCTGATTGCGACTCCGACTCCAAAGCCTTCGCTAGTGGAAACCAGCCTTTAGAAACAGCTGACTGAAGATCATGTTCAGCAAGTTGTCGCCCAATGTAAGTCTATCCGGCAAATTTTTGCTTATGGAATACGTTATCTTGGGAATTCATTTCAAGGAATCCGGAATCCCGCTAACGATTTGAATCTGGAATCCAGTCTCTGGAATCCGGAATCCAGGGGCCTCGTTTTTCAAAAGTCCCGACAACTTTTCGAGCTTGGGAACTGTGTTATTGTTGAACAGGTTTTAGACCCGAAAAGTTTCCGGACCTTTCGAGAGACGGACCTCAGGGGAGAGGGTTGAATACAGAATCCAATTAAGGCTGTCTTGTACTATCTTACATTGGGATGAAGTTAATATCACGGAATTGAAGTTGCATGAAAATACTTGTAACAAAGTCAGTGTAGGTTCGGGTAAAACGCTGAGTAGACGTTAAGTTTATTAATCACAGAAATATTGGTTAGCGGCATATACACTTTTTGTTACAAACTAAGTATTTCGATGCACCTTCCCTGATACTTGCAATATTTCTAGTTAACTTGATGAACGTGAAATTCAGTCACATGAGGCTCTACGATGTATCCTGTAGGATAGAGCTTTTCGCTCTGGGTGATTCAGATAATTGAATGACGAAGAATGTGACAAGGAACAACTTTAGGGAATCTATCCCAAAGCTTTTGTCAAGAAAGCCACCATTGGGTGCTCCCCTTACGAAAGTTGTCGACTTCCTACAATACCGGTTTCTGAATCCTTCCTGGTGTGTAAAATCTAGATCTCTGAGAAACAGGTCCATTCTTTTTCCCAGGGTTTTTCCCTCAAAATGGGAGCCATCAGAAAAAGCCCTCACTTTAAACGAAACGCCTAAGGAACGACGTTGAAATAGGTCAACCTTGATAAGAATGAAGCCCTTCTTACTGAGGGCGAGTTTACAAATGTCTATGAATGGAGCCCTGGATTACTTTTTTCTAAAGTCTCTAGTACGGGTGTTCATGACCCCGTAATAGAGTTCTCCGTTACAGAGAGATTTGGCTCAATTGCTTACTTCATTTCTTTTTTGATGGTGTACAGAGGATTCTCCTTGCAAACAAGAAAAAACTGGAGAAAAGAAACATACCTTCTAACCTGTTAAGGTATGCATAACACGTATGGAAAGTGTTCTTTAAATTGCACCCTTAAGAGCGAAATTCCTAACTACAGCACTGTGGCTATGTGAAAAGTCATTCTTCGTATAATCTCCTGCGTCCGTGATCGAGAAGAAAAAATCCCCTCGAAGACTGTGTATTGTGCACCTGATGTGTGTAGTTTTAGCAACTCACTTATTGCGGAGCTCCACGCGCCCGGGCACGCGCCCACGAAGCCCCATAGATAATTAAGGAAGGTTGGTTAACTATCCATTCAAGAAATTTGGGTAGTCACGTGACCGTCCGACCTTCCTTCCGTCCCTCTGTCCGCACCACAGGGAAACCGATGAGAAATGTTAGTGTGGGAGTCTACAACCTGATGTTGTACATCCACATTGTGGTCATTTGACAGCTGTCAAATTAGGGTACACGCTGACCAGAATCAGATGACCCTATCGCAGGATCAGGTGTCGACCCAGCGAGGTTATGTGTTTTTTTAAGTTCCCCTTTGACAAGTTCCTAGTTTTTAACACATCGCAGGCTCAACTCCAGGTGGATTTCTTTACACTTTGCAATGGTTACAAGTTTATTGTTTCAAGTAAATTGTAAATTGATAAACGGGGGCGTCGCTTTTAGCCTTGGCTAAATCTACATATTCAAGTGTTAAAGGTGACTTTTCTGTAAATTGCTTTTAGCGAAGTTACAGTGTAACATCCGCAATTAAGATCAACGTCGTATTTGATACCTCAAGGAGCAAGACGATCGCTTACGAATACTTACACTTTATTAGCAATTAACATTTACATGAAGTACATTAATTAAACAGAAACCGCCAAAGAAACCAAGTTGTTTACCGTGAATTTGACCGGGAGGGTTTTGTACTAGTACAAGGAGAAAATAAAAATCGCCTCAACTGTCAAATATAAAGACGTTACATAATCAAGAATTTTTGGATCAGCTATTGAAAGGCCATGTCCTTAAATGCTATTGGCTCAAGACTTAGTTACTTATTTCACTCTTTTTTTTTCAGCTCGTATTTACTTCAGCTTAATGTTTTCTTTGAAGAACTGAATTATGAAGTAATCGAAGAAAGCATTGGATATGGGGTAAGCTACCAGGTCGTAAGGTGGCGTTAAAGGGGTCATGTCACCAGGATATTGCTGATTTAGGTCAATTCTGAGAGTGCTTAAGTTACTACATAGAGCTTTTACCCAAACAAAACTCATTCTCTTGATGAGTTATGAAGAATGTATCAAACAAATTTCATTAGGGAGCATTAAACAATCATTTTTGAGTGATTTTAACATTACGAATTGACAAGAGAGAATGCTGGGAATTGAACTGAAAAATTGAAGCAGTTTGAATCCAAGTCCATCCTTGCGAGCCGTACGCAACAGGCTATAGGAAACTGTTTCACTGTCTAAATATAAGCTTAAATAACACAAGACAAGTTAAGCTTTTTAAAGAGATTGTCGCAAATAAAAGAGCAGAGCGCCTTTAAACTTCGTCATTTGAAACTGAGCATGTTGGACTTTCCACCAGCTCTGTACGTTATCTCAACAGTAATAAGTGCAACGTCCGTAAAGCTTGGTTAACCCTTTAAACCCTAAGAGTGATCAGCGTCAAATTTCAGGGTGGTCATGAGAATTAGGGACACGATCACACAAGATGAATTTGCTTGATATTTTATCAACTTCTCCCCACTACTTCTATAGTAAAAGAATAGTGACAACAAATAAGAATTTAATTTGATATAAGGGTTGAAAGGGTTAACTCTCTCTAACTCAGTTCAGTACTTGACTGCAGTTTGCCTCTGATGTTGAGCCCTTGCTGAGAGCTGCAGGGATTCAGTGAAAATAGAAAGCGAGCTTCCGCTTTTTGGCAAATTCAAAGATCTCGCATGGATCTTTGAAACCCCGTTTATTATAACAAAGGTTACCTGGCCTAACTAAGGATGCCTGATAGCGTCTATTTTTTACTGTTTTAGCTGGTGAATTTTATAGCAGATATTGGAGGCAACGTGGGTATCTGGATTGGTGTTTCTGCTCTGACGATCGCGGAAATTCTGGAATTGCTGTGTATTATAATTCATCACCTGATCAAGACTTGTACTCATCGAAGCAGCAAGATCCTGGCTTTCAAGTAAAGAGAGAACTATTCCAGCCTCGAGCAGTATTTTAGATAACAAATGCTTCGAAACTCTCGCACTATCTTTAAAAACAGTGTATAATTTATGTCACCTCGTGCTTAGTCACCCTGAAGTTATACTTTATAGGAGGATCTCATTGGGGTGGCAGCTTTGACAGTTGGTGGTTTTTTTTCCAGTTTTGATTGTTGATGGTTAAATTTTAGAGCTTTCGACGTTTGACGGTTAGTTAGTGGAAATTTAGTCCAAGAGTTTAAGTAAATAACTTCTGTATAAATTGATATTAACTGTTGTGTTTTGGAAATCTTTCGAGGTTGTCTTGTTCTTTCACATGTATAACATTTCGAAATATTTTCAGATATAAGCAAGTTGTAAGGTCTTGTTATGTCTAGAGTAAGTGTTGAGAAAATGTCAACTGGTTTTTCCACTTTATAGATTCTTCAGGAGACAGAAGTCCGTGAAATGATCAGTCTGCTGAAATAGTGAGATTTTATATACCTTGAAACTCTTTGACGGTTTATACCACTACATGAGAAATTTCTGCAATTTGATTGGCTTAGAGCAGTGGTATTTCAGCTAAATTTGAAATACCTACATGTGAAAATTACAAAACCTTTGCAGGTAGTAGTATAAACAAATAATAGCATGATTTGTTGGTGATATTTGGCATAAATACCACTCGTGATATTTCAAAATTGTCACAAATTTCACTCGCCTAACGGCTCGTGAAATTACGTATAACAATTTCGAAATATCACTCGTGGTATTTATGCCAAATATCACCACTAATCATGCTATTACCTATACTAATATTAATTTGCATTCTCAATGGTTGACGGCAGAATTTTAAGCCAGCTGACGGCTGACTGTTAACTCCATTGAGAACCGCCTATAATGCAATATACTAATCCAACTTTGCTACAGTACGAGTTCATACATGAGATTACGCACTGGCAGATACACTAAAGGGGCATACTATTTATTGCTTCTAGAATCATTTTTTTTAAAAACCTTATGAGCTCGAGAGGGGAAGCAGGGTTGATTTATCCCAAAGGGGAATCGCCCCAGGTTATATCCTCGTTTTAGGCGTCTCGGGTCTGTCTTAGACGTTTAAATTTACACGGCTGAGAAAATGACAGCTGAAATGAGCGAGGAAAATAGGTTTTTTCTCATTAACATTAGATTAAGCACATGTTGAGATCGAAGTTTATAACAGGTCTTAGTGTCTCTGATTTAAAATCCTACACTATAACCTCTGCTTGCATATTATGTACATACAACTTTCACTGTGAGTCATGAGTAGTTTGCACATCATGATTTGTTGAATGTAACAATTTGTCTACGGTCAAATAAAAGATGCCAATTTAAGCGCAAAATGATTACGCATTTAGACTAACTTTGTTAATAATAATAATAATAATGGTCTTTATTAATAATTCATTTCGCAAACAGACGTGCAGCAATTTACATGGCAATAAAATGAATAAAGGAAAGCGAAACAACACATAAGGAAAACGACTAAATAAATATTAGTTACTATTAGAGAGACATCTATTAATAAAAACTGATTTAAAACGACTTGTCCGGACATTAGGTAGAATATAATTATGCGACCTAGTTCTCTGGGGAGGTAAAAGATTGCTCAAGGCAGTGTTGGTGGAAGAGATCCTTCGCCTTAACTTGATATCTCTATTACGACGAATGTCCAAGATACTGTGCTGCTTTAAGAAATAACCTAACTTATAACACCTGGTAAAGAGCTTATCAATCCTTCTTAAACAATTAACTATAAAAACCGCACCCCCAGACCTCAATAGCATATGTGAAGACTGAAAGGATCAAACTTTGAAAAAATAAATCCAAATTCCCAATAGAGTAGACATAATATTTACATATTCTTATAATATACAACCTACTGCTAGTCTTACTAAGTAAATAATCAATATGACTGTCCCAATTTACTAGCACTTACTCAAATGTAACGCCCAGCAGTTTCAGTTTCTCTTTCCTCACTATGATCGAGTGGTTCAGGAGGCATCCTGGTAGTCTTCCCTCGTAAAAGCAGTTCCCATGTTTTTGTCAAATTGACTTTCATTCAGTTGTTCTCGGACCATTCAATAAAGGATAGGACTTCCGTCTCAAACTTATCTAAGCCTACATTTGCCTCAATCGGCAAGCTAACAGTTATGTCATCTGCAAATTTAACTAGAAGATTCTTATTAGTATTAACAGCTTTGATATCGTTAATAAAAATAGAAAAGAGGACCGGCCCCAGGCCTGTACCTTGAGGAACACCCCTATTTATAGAAACATATTTAGTACGGTAACCATCGACAACAACTCTCTGCTTTCTCTGATCCAAAATGCTAATAAGCCAATTAATAATATATAATAATATGTTCACCCAGTGTCGGTTATAAAAAAAAGAAGAAGAAAAAAGAAAAACTGACAAGGTCGCTTCAGAAAGCACTTTGACCAAGTTCCTACTTTCCTATAATTCTTTTCTTAACTGATTAAATAATGAAAACTTTATAATACTCATCCTTTGTTATCTATCTTTTAACGGAGCACGAACAAGAAGGAATTTTAGATGAAAGAGGCTGGAAAAAATGCCCACAACACCAAACTTTCCTGTCAGAATGACGTCACGCACAGCCTTTAAAGTGATGGCACGCGATGTTAAAGGGGCTGTGTCACGGCTACTGCGCATGCTTGAATTTGACAGATGCAAATGACGTAAACAAGGCCATGTTTATATGAACCCATGTGAAAAGCCGACTCGCACTGCGAAACCTTCATCGAGATTCCTTATTGTCGTTAGAACCTTTTACAGAAATGAGCCTTTCTTCGGAACAAAGTCGCTCTTTTGCGGTATGTATCCGTGTATTAATTTAGCCACAACTTTCTTGCCACTTTTGTAGTCAGCGACTCGCGCTCTACTCTTCCTGGACTTCTGAATACCGCAGTTTATTCCACTCGATTGCGCGAAATCTAGTCAACATTATTTCCTTCCCGTTTGCGCAGGAGAACGTCCCTAACTCTTGCCAGTGTACAAGCACTTGCTCTACCAAAGCAGGAAGAAAAAGGACTGGATGTCCTTGCAAAACAGCCGGTCGCTACTGCGGAGAGGCTTGTTCGTGCAGTCGACGAAAGCCTTGCAAGAACAGAGAGGTGGGGAAACAAAGCTCGGTTGAGGTCGAAAATTCGCTAGTAGGAAGTATTAGTACAGTTTGCGATTTCTTTTTTATCATGTGAAGGCTGCATCCGTGGCATCCCAAGGATGGGGATTCGTGCAAGGACCGCCAGGCCAACCAGATAATGGTCTTACGGAGGAGCAAGAACGGGACATGGAAAATCGACGAGTGAAGGTACAATACTGAATTATAGTTCATAGTCGATGGCACAAAAGATAGTCCTTCAAAAATCTCATCCGCTATTCCTTTACCTAGTAAGTTTCCCTTGTACAAGTTGTTGATTGTTGCTTCCCCTAAATGGAGCAAATTGTCTTTTGTTTTAGTGTCTCCTTTGTGTGTCATGTTCTGAAGTGTGCAAGATTTCTTAGGGAAGTCCCCTTTTTACTAGTTATTTTCTCGTCGATTACGCTCTTAAAAAAATCTACGTGTCAAGCTTCGACAGAATGTGATAAAAAGTAATTGTCCAGCTACTCTAACAAATTATTGCACTATTTTTCAACCTCACAGGAGTTTATCCAAACCCTGGATGAGGAGCTAGCAAAAAAACTTGCTACAAGAGCTCTACAGAGGGGAGTGGGCAGCATGGACTATATAGATATGCTTCTTATCCAGGAGGACCCAGAAGATGAGATTGACGATGCCGCTCTACCGTCTTCCCTTTCTCTATCCCCCCCTGAAGTGTCAAGTCCAGCACCACCGAACCCTGCCCAATCTACACCTGCATCCACCCCAGCCTCAGACTCGAGCGTATCTGGAACATCAGCTTCAGGTGGGCCCTCATCTTTCAGGCCACGGCCAACAGCATCTATGGCAAGGTCAAGTGAACCAGTGCCTGAGTGGTGCAAATGTGGACATTGCCGCAGAATGTCGCAGGAGGTTGAGAACCGATGCTGTAATTCTCGAGACTGTGTCTCACTTAGCGCACGGTTTCGCAAGCTATGCCTGGACCCTGATTATTTACAATTAAGTATAAAGTGTTCAGGGGATATCAGAAACGACCGTCAAGATAATAGCAGCAGAGCCTTCCGAAAGGCTGCCTATCGTCATTATATAATTGAAGAATATGGCTACCTTGGAAAACACAAAAGAAGGGTATGCCCTTCATGCTGTGTATGGAAAATTCGAGAGCACTACCCATCCTCAACTGGGGTGTACATGGGGTTCAAACCTCGCTAAAATGGAAATAACTTTTTGATAGGTTTCTATAAGTTTTAATTGCAGTTGGTTTGTTCAACCTCATGCCATACCCCCAACCCCACCCCCCTCAAAAAAAAATTGTCCTGGATTGAGTACCCCTGTGAATATCGCCCCATGAAAACAATAGCATTACAGCTGTATTTGTATTGTGGCAGTGCGAGCAAATTTTATAATATGGATAATTAGACTCACAAAAACGGATTCCAACGGCTAGTTCAATAAGGACCAATCTACTCCGGTATTTACATTTACTAACCAATCCTTTGTCTTCGGATAACTTTTGCATTATTTAGTTTCACATATTGTGCATTTAAATTATTAAACAATTCTCATAGGTTATATTTATTGTCAATTTATTGTCAAAAACATCACTGTTGCTTATCTCATTGTCTTCGCTTACAAATCAGGCCAAAATTGACGACTTTCATATTTTTATTAATATCTCTGCAGGTATTTACAGCAGTGTTTTAAGCAATATCCCATTTGAAAGAGGGATAAATTGGCTCTATAAAAAACATAAATTGTTCTCCATACATTCAATAATGTTTTAAAAAAAAATGCTAATGTGAAAAATTTGCATAATTTATGCAAAAAAATCCACGATGGACGCTCTTTTAGTCCAAAATAAAGTGTCTTTTGCTGGGTATGTTAAAAATGAATCTGTTGCTTTATTTCCAGGCCAACTGCAAGCCAAATTTCCCTGAAAAGAAGCAAATACACAATTTTTTACATATTTTTTTTAACATGTACTCATTTTAAGAAAAAATGAAAAAAAATTTTTTTTCAATGTTACATGAAGTTATGGAGTTACATGAAAATGATGCCAAAAGCCCCTCTAAACCCCTAACAAGCCATAGTGTCAGCATTTTGATTATTTTTTTGCAATAAATGACTATAAATGCTAATAATAAAAAAAAATTGTTTTTGAAAAAAAAATTGGGGGGGGAAAAAAAAACCCACCACCACCCCTGCCAGCATCTGGCAGGCTACTGAAAAGGTTATTGAATGTATTCTACTATAGAAATTAAAAATAAATGCAATACATAATGTATTCAGATCTATATACTTGTGATGTTTACGCATATAAAGGGGTGTTGTGTCCTCAGCTCATTTAAAAAATGATACAAATACTTATATACTCCCTGATGCAATACAATGCCCTCTCCATCTACCTATAAAGAAATAAAACAAAGCTTTAGAAAATGTTAGAATACAGTGAATGATTTTGTTTTAGACCACACTTACCAGTAAAATACTATGGTTTTTTTTTTGGATTTTTAAATTTTTTTTATACTTACATTTCTTTTTTTTTTCAATTTTATCTAAGAGACTGGCAAAACAATCCATCATAAACTAAAGAATTACTGGCTATGATATTCTGGGCTGTGGAAAATTTCAAAACAATTTCGTTCCTTGTAATATGCATGAATTTACCCTCACATTGGGGTGCGGAACAATAGGTGGTAATCTTTTTCTCTACTTTTTCCCGTTTCCAGCAAACAACACAGTTTCTCTTTACATCAGCAACACGAGGGATGTGTTCGGTTGAAAACAGTGAAGGTGGGGGTGGACATGGAGTCCTTGGCCTACCACTAGTACAAAGGGGGGGGGGGCAATAAATCTTCTGATTTCATTGGCGGTCACATCCTGCCAGCTGCCATCAGACTGGGTATACGAAGAGCCTTGACCTGAAAAGACCTCCTGTGCATAACTATTAGTATGTGTAACTATGCTATTTACTATGCTATCATCAAAAATAAAAGATCAAAAAAATCTTTAGCTCCTTCTGGAGAGCCCCTTGTAAGATAGCCAGGGAAATGAAAGCCAACTTTGGATGAGTCAAACCGTGGAAGTATGTTGGGAACATCCTCGTCACCATAGCTCAGGAAGGGAGCCTCATCGTCTGCACCACCAGAACTCCGACCAGCAGCAGCACCACCACGACTTTGACCAGCAGCAGCACCAGTACAGCCTCTGGGACGACCTCTGGGACGACCAGCAGCACGGCCTCTGCTACGACCAGCACCACGGTTAGTAGGCTGATCTGCAGCACAGGCAATGCGAGCTACACAAACGTAAACATACATTTCAGTACTCAGGCTGCTGGCTACTTCAATGTTTCCGAAACCCCTGACTACTTCAATTATAAACAAAAACAAACAACATTTGAACTAAAAAATATATGCCATAAAAACTATAGAATTAATTACTTACGACGTCGTGCAGGAGGAGGAACTGAGGGGTAGAAACTGGATGGAGGATGAGGACCTAAACAAAACAGACATAATATTATTATTGATACGATTCAATGAAAATAAGAACACAAAAACTACCGGCTGTATTGAGTTACTGTTTACAATGATAATTAAATAATACTGACCTGAAAGAATCTCGTTTACTTCCGAAACCAGGGGTGTAGCTGGGGGAGCTACAGAAGCAGCCGAAGTAACAAGAGGTGCAGGTGTTGTGGGAGTAGGCAACACGACAGATGGAATGTCTGCACCATCATCATCACCGTCAGCATCTTCATCACTTTGAGAATGAAATAAATAACACATAAAACTATATTTATCCATAAAAATGGCCGGGTAATAAGCAGAAAAAAAAGCAAAATTTTCTCATCACTAAAACTCAAATACACAAGTGAAAAAAAATATACAATATATTTCAAACTTTGCTAAAAAATGAATGAAAGAAAGAAATAGGAACTTTTTTTGTAAAACTCTACAGTTACATTAAAAAAAAAGATAATGCTGGCGTTGCTAAGGAAAAATTCGAAAGAATTGCGTTGCCTAGGAGAACCACGCAAAGTTTGCGTCACCACGTGAAACTTCGCGTCCCCACGTGAGTTACGCGTCCCATTGAGTAAATCGCAAAATATGAAAAAAAAGGATACCATTGGCCCAATAAATCGAACTTTAGGAACACAAATATAAACTTGGAGTTCTATTTCAACTAGAATACAAGTTTCGATCGCATGAAGGCTGATCGAAACGACAAATTCCTACATTTCGAAAACAACGCTCTTCAAGCGAAGCTCATGCGAAGCAAGTGTGTATGGAACTTCAGCGAAGAACTTGCCTCAAATTTTTGTCCAAATCGTAAAGCTGGTGTAACCAATGCTGCAGCATCGACTGTCATAGGCGCCAGAGACAAGGAGATTTATTGTGCATCATACATGACAGTCCTTCTTTGATGAATATTTTCTTACACCGCACATGAATACATAAAGGTTCCATATTCATTACATATTTTGCATCATGTTTCCTAGTTATTCTTAAACCTGCTGCTGTGCTGAATAAAGAGCTCGCGTGAAGGTGGGGGTGGCACCACAGCAATGGTAGGGGCTATCCTCCTTGGGTCATCAGCTTCCATTGGGACCACCCTCTGCATATTTTCATTATCCTCCACACGTAGACGAAACACTTTAGCCAGAAGCATCCAAATATAACCATAGTCTTTGGCCTGCTTTACAATTTTCACATTCCAACTCTTTGTTCTTTGGTTGTACTTCCGGGTCACAGCAACCTCGCCTAGCACATCTTCTTGTTCAGGAATATCGAGGTGATAGTTCCAGTCAATGGCAGCTAGTTGTTTTCTTGCTTTGTAGACTTTCTTCCTAAAAAGAACAATTGATCAAAATAGACAGTGTTCCATGAGATCTTTGTTCACACAGTGCAATTTTTTGAAGTATACAACAATTTGAGCTTCTCTATAGGCTACAGATAATATAAATACTATGAACTTTTAAAACTATGAAGTGTTGTTACTTACGTGTAGGAAATTCTCTTGCTGGCATACATCAATGACAGAGAGTTGGCTCGTTCTAATGCGCCTGTATGCCTAAAAGTAAAATAAATATTTTTGAAAAACATGGTTCAATATACATGTAATAATTAAAGAAGGACAATGAATTGAGCTTGACATAGAAAGGCATTTAGGGGCTGGCCAACACCTTAAGAAGGTTTTCACAAGGTCCACAGTGGCAATAAAAAATAAACCCTTGCCTAAGCCTGACAACGTTTACGTTACTGAGCTTAGTTTAAGGAATGGGGCTGCCCGGAGTTATTGACCTAGTATTCATTAACACATTCTTCTTTTAAGTTTCCTCCATACATTTCTTTTGCCAAGGACCAAGCAGACAGGAATACAAACCAAAATATTTTTTCTTTGAAGACCATACCATTCATCCATAAACATTATATTTGAATAAACCAACATATTGAAATAAGATATATATTTAGTCTTTCTTATGAAAACAGGGTTCCCCTTATATACCTGAATCTGGTGTAGTACTTGAAACTTTCAAGAAGGTCAGGATCTAGGATAATTTTTTGCAGTGCCTCAAACTCTTTGGATCTCCTGTCAAACCATGGAAGCTGGTGGTTTTCCTCAGTGATTGGCTCGTGGTCACAATGGCCATCAGCCCACTCATGTTGATTGCACACATGGTGTAATAGTGAGATCCAGGTATCCTGATTTCATAATAGTAAAATTTCATTGAAACATATATAACAAGATGATAATGACATAGGGTCTGTTTACATAGAGGTAGGGAACCCCAGGTAGGTGAGGTAACCCGCTTTGGTGGAGTATCCCGCTTGTCCATATAATATCTCATTTTAATTTGAGAGATGGGGTGACCCACCACATTTTACCTCACCTATCAGAGGTCCCCCACCTCCATGTAAACAGACCCTAAAACATTGTGAAGAAGCAAAGTGTTTACAGTCTGATATACTATAATGTGATAATTTTCAAAAAAGTCTCAGAAAAAAAAAATTCAGAGCTGTCACTAAGATTTCAAGTTGCTGGGTTCATAAAATAAGTAGGCAGAGAATCAAACAACGGGGGGTTTCGTTTGATTCCATTTTTCTTCTATTTTCCTTTGAGTGTAGCTGGGGGCCACATAGACCCATCACCTCTTACCGACAGCCCTGTTTTTAATTACTTTAAAAAAGATGATAAATTGGAATTACCTTCAATATCTTCAGAGCTTCTAGCTCATTGCCTTCCACTTCAGATGCCAGACTGCAACAGTGCCAAAAGTGTCTAACAATGTGGTCAGACCAAAGGGCCACTTTTTCCATCCCCTTTGCACTTCCCACCTACAGAAGATCAATAACAAGCCTTAAATTTTTTTCTCTGGCAGAGATAAATGCAACGACTCAAAAAAATAAACCTACATTAACAGTCCAACCATCATTGTCAAACTTTGAGCATTTAATTCTCTACAGATTATAATAACAACATTCCTTAGTCCATTCCTGGCCCATTGGTTAAAGATATGATTTGATTATCCTGGAAATATACAACAGTGAAGTATACTACATGGGCGTATTTACAAGTGACAACACAATGTATGTTTATGTTCTATTTATAGGAAAGAGTCTTGCCAATACATGGGACAGAGTCACATATTAGAAAGAATTACACTAAATATGTTCTTTGTGGCCACTGTAAAATTAATATAATATTAACTCTTACTCACGTTTGAAAGACACTTCCGGATTCCTTTTGACTTATGCCAGACATCAAGTGAGTGGAATATCTGTCTAAAAGCATCAGCTAGAATACAAGGAAAATATTTTAGTATGTTTAGAAAATACAAAGTAATCTACTTGAGTTCACTGATAAATAGAAAGCATTGAAAACCCACAGGCAAAAAGCATGAGTTGTATATAACAGCAGAAATTTGGGTAAGAATATGGAAATGACAAGACAGCTAACCCATTGATGGTTTGGTTCAATTGATGAGAAAAAAGTTGACAAGAAAAGCACAACCTAAAACATATTTCAAGGTTGGGTGCTCTATGGTTTTAATACAAAACTATTAACGTAATCTCCCGGCATACTTCAACCACAAATTTCAACGCCACAGTATCTAAATATCATTGATTCTCTTTTCATTGCTTTTCTTCCTCATAAGAATTTTCGCCAGTAATAGTGACAATATTAATAATAATAGTAATAATAATAATATACTGGTACACAAAATGCAGTTTTCATAAAAACAAAGTAACTTTTCTTTGTATGACTGATAACTTCTCATTATTCAGTTTATCATACCTATCAGTTTTTTTATACTTGCTGATGCATCGGTTACAACTTCAGTGATCGTCAACAATCTTCTAAGCCTAAGAAGAATGTTTTGAAGAGCCTGCTTCTCCATCGTGACTGACTTCATGTTTGTCTCACGTTTGTCCAATACCTCAAGCTCAATTATGTATGATGTTGTTACATCCATAAGGTAGTAACAAAGATTCTTTGCCGTGAATCCAGGGGAGTCACATTGACCATCACCTGCAACAACAAGGTCCTGATCCTTCAACTCCTCAAATATTATTTCCTGTTGCCACTTCCACCATTCTGTTACAGCAGGAATCACATAAAGCCTCTGCACCCTGAAGAAGGTGGACTTTGAAGGGAAAGAAAGGCCCAGGAACTTAGCCATCTTAGCTACTTTGATGAAACTGCAACCGGACAACAATATGGCAGCAGAGGTCTGGAGGTTGTTGACGAGAATACCATTAACTTTTCTAGACGACCAAAACCTGCCTTTATGCCCAAGAGGGCAAGTCCATTTTACTAACACACTGGTGCCACAAAGAGTGTGATCAACCCTGGTTTGCTGCTGGCACCCAGGATGTTGGCATTTGTCTGCAAACACCTGCATTAGGAGGTCAAGAGCACATAAAACCTTAGTGCCTTGTACAAGCTTTATTTCATCTGGATATTCCTTGTGGTCTTCCCAGCGACTGAATTTATTTTCTCGAGGAGGACCAACCACACATGGTATGGCTGGTACAGCTGTGGGCACTGGTCTTTCTTCTTGAGCCTGCACCACTGGGTCCTCGGTCTGAGTGGATACTGAGACTACTACAGGCTCTTTTGATGGCTGCTTGCCAATGTCATCATCATTACTTTCTTCATCCAACACCCCAGATATTTCAAATTCAATGGCAGCATTCTCTTCCTGTGTCATGTCCAAATCACATTCACTATCACTCTCCTCACTATAAGCAGAAACAATGAAAACCAATTAAAACCTTTCTTTATTGAGTTTGATAAATTGTATTGTTTATCACTATCCACTAACTAAGAAACAAAATTCTCCAATCACGCAAATCCTAAAAACTCAAGGTAGATGGTAGATGGTGGAAACTGTTTAAACTAATTCATAGCTTAGTTTTACATCCTTCACATCATGAATTTATCTTAGAGAAACTTACCCCCAATAATCTTCATCGTTGTCATCACTGGAGCTGAAAGCCTCATCAGCATCGGCAACAAGCTTGCACAGAGCATCAGACAGTGCAGACACATTTCTGAAAAACAAGTCATTGCATGGCATATTTGTAAACAGAAAATTCAATCCACATGTACTAATCTATAGTGACAAGAATTGGTAGCATATTTATAATTTGGTTCAAGACATTACTAATATTTTGTTTTGCTGAATACGAGTGTGTAGCAATGACAAAGAAACATACTAAAACAATCATATACTATTATTATAGTACTAGTATTGTATTATTGGTTCAATGAAAACAAAACGTAAGAGGGGCAATGATCATAACACCACCTTTCGAAATTATTGGGAAGATCAACATGCTTTTTTAATACTTACAAGAAGCAGTTGTCATCTTCACTTTCTGCAGACGACTCTGTCGCAGAAGAGTTGCTGCTACTGTCACTATTTGAGGTCACCTCAGAGTGGTCAGTGCCTGTGATGTCAATGTCACTGTGGAAAAGGTGCAGCAGATTTGCAATTAACATCTCTCTAAAAGTACTGTTATACCTTGCTGACAGAGGTTCTCATGCACAAAAATAAAGAAAGAAAGGAAGAAAGCAAAAGGAAATACCAAACTGAACTACTTGAAAGAATAGTTACTAAGACTTTCTTCCTCATCCATCATGATTTATTGAATGTTCAGACATTCACTCAATGAAAACCTGATGCATCTAAAATTTTTATCACAGGAAGAACTTCCAATTATTGCTCCTTCACCGTTATGTCCGAGACAGATATGTGAAATAATATGGAAACAGAAAATCAATACCGAAATGACCACCTACTACCCTGCGAGCAGAGGCTACATTTTCGCGGTATGAGCTGGCGTGCAAAAAGTAGCCTCTGCCGACAACCGTTCAAATCCGTCCAGAAATCTGGACGAATAAATTAAAAAACGGGTTTTTTCTTGTTCTTGACCGGTTTATAGCATCGCGTGAGTCTTGCGTCAGCGAATGAACGCTGACCATTATTGCGCCTTCATGCATCCCTTCGCGCCAAATTCTCGCATACGAACGCAGATCAACGCAGCTCAAACGTAGCAACAGGAAAAGTTCAAAACAACTTCAAAAATCCCTGTTTATGTATTTAAAAGAGCGTCGTCAACAACTTGAATAAGCTCTGTATTTTAAAGCTGTCGGAATACCAAAACAAGCTGCTGCCGGTGCTTCTTACGGGACCGTGTTAAGATCGTTAATTTATCATATGGTAGTTCTTGTTTGCCAGGAAAAGAAAATGGATACTGCGGTGATTTTTGTTGTGTCGCCTCCCAATGCGAGGCTAAATGCACTGTTTTAAGACACAGATGGGAACCGGAATGTTCAAAAGAATCATCGATCAATTTTCTTTTGTGGAAAAAGCAGAAAAAACGCTTTTAGCTGAACACTGATTTGCCCTCAAGGACTTCAACGTGGTTGGCTTCTTCACGAAAGAAACCAAAGCGGCAAAGTTTTTGAAGAATTTTCAGGTACAACTTGCACATTAATGGTCAACGAAGTTCCGTTTTTAAATGGAAATTTAAGTATTTATAGTTGTTTCATGGATGTTTTATACGACTTGAGACGGATTTTGCCGTTGACATGTCTTCGGCAGCTTTTACTTGCGTGAAATGATCCACGATCCGGTTAGTATTACGCGAATTGCTTTTAAGGATAAAATTATGGGTTTTCGAATAAAATTTTTCGATAACTAATTTTACTGACTACCGTTTTGTCTATGTTCATTCATAACATTAGTTTAAAGCACAATCGTGAGACTACAGCATCCAATTTATTTCAAGCATCACTTCTGCGTAGCGTTATCGGCGAATTTTATCTTTCACGCCGGAAAAATGTGCTCCCCGCAAAACAGGCAGAACTTACTACAGTTGATAGCATAAAAATACTTTCCTAAAAAAGACGATCCGTGGAAATTTTGGGGCTAAATTACTTAAAACTAGTGGGGGCCAAGTAGAAAAACAAAACAAAAGCTCGAGGAGAGTAGTTCGCAGGTTCGCAGGTAGTTTACGCAAGTTTGATTCCCGCGAAACTCACGCAGATTTGACGAACTAGTTGCTTGCGAATCGCGTGACGAATTTTGCGCATGCACGATAGAAAACTGAACGGTTGTCGGCAGAGGCTACTTTTCGCACGCCAGCTCATACCGCGAAAATGTAGCCTCTGCTCGCAGGGTAACCACCTACCTATTGTCACCAGCCATTCCAGCAACTGGACTTTCCACTGGTGGAGCAATGACAGAACAGTCATACTTGCTTCTTTTCACAGGGGTCGAGGTGTGGAAATTAGAATCATCTGCAAAACAATATGCAACATATTACAACTTTTATTTCAATGAAAACAGAATTAATCCCGATGGACTGTGTCCATAAATGTTCCGGCCACATGCACTGCTCACATAAAAAAGATCAAGTCCCTGAACAGGGATTCCAGATCGATCTCGTGCTAGTTACCTGCTTGGGGTTGTTGTACTGCACTTGACTCTTCCGTACTCTTCTTCATGGCTTGCTTGGCTTTTAAACTGTTAAAATAAAGTAATATTTAATAGGTAGTTAGATTCGACGTTGCAGCTTAGACTAAAAAGCAATATAAATGTAGAAGTCTTATTTTCTCACCTTTGTTGCCTTCGCATCTCAAACGACAACAAATGCTGCAAGAAAGCAGTGTCGGTGGAGAAGACACACTGAGCTTTCAGCGTTTTAAATGTGTCCAGAATGTCACGGCGGACGTAAATCCTTCCATGGGACTTGAGCCACGAACTCCGAGAGTCAGATCTCTTCTCTATGCTCCTAACAAAGCTTCCAGGTGACAAGAGCCTACGGCCACTGCCGTAGCGTTTACCGCCTCGAGCCGACATCCTTCGCTTGGAGCGCTAAATAGCCCTTAGGATTTCCACAATTCTCCAAAAAATTACTCTAACACGAAAGCCTTATGTCTAAATAATTTAAATATATAGATAAAATACAAAACGAACACCGATTAGCGACGATGGAAACAGATTTTCACTTGATTTGTGAGGATTCGCGTCAGTTTGATTTCAGCTTTGATTTCTTGTTGGGCTGAACACTTTTCAAAGAATGGAGCATGCGCAATGCATGTGACACGGCTCCTTTAAATTTGTTCGTTAATAAGAAAAGTTTTATATCTTCTAGTCGTTGCATGTCATTAAAACAATTTGTTTGATTGTTTATTTTTAGTCAAATGACATTTTAATTGAAAAACAGGGGTAACTACTAGTACTCTTTTTACCCTTGTTATATCACCGATCATATTCTCCACACTGCTTCCTATACATCATCGATGGTAGATTTGAGAGAATTTGTTTCAAAAATCAATAATTAATACATCTTTATTTCCGTGAGCAACTCTTTCTTTATTAAAATGGAGCCTTTTTATTGTCTCCATAGTCTCCGTTCATTAACGTTTCCTATTAACAGCAAATGAACCCTACAAATATTGCGAAATACTAGCTAACGAGCCTAAAAATGTCAGTGTCTATTCAAATAACACTGATAATCAGTATACTGAACAAGATGGCTCTTAGTGCTGAGATGAACAACTAACATGTGTCCATTTAAAGGCACTTTAATGTGGAACGGCGTATTCAATACTGCTGTGCTTAAGGGTATTAAATTTTGTTTCTGTTTGTGATAACAGTAAATGCCATCATCTGAATAATACAGTACCTCTAATTTGTTCTTCTTTGTATGCTCAGTATTTTGCACCTTGGTTACTTATATTCTAGAGTAGTTTGGAAATAAACGTTGTTAAAATCGTTGTAAATTGTCTTCTTTCTGTGGCTTCACCTCCCTAATGTGAGATTTCTTCTTCTTAAGCGTCTTCACGATTGTAGCAGTAATGGTTGCAGTGAGCTCCAATACCTCCACCACCGTTAACACAGAGATGCCGATCCACATTCCCATTAAACCACCGATGTCAGACCAAAGGCTATTCATCTGTTAAAAAAGAAACGTATTATGGTATTGGAGGGCATTGAATAAATGGATGTTGTGTGCCCAGTGGCTAAAGGGGCCGTCGACATTTATGCCTATTTTTCGAAAAGGCATTGAAGTGTCTTGCATGCAAGGCTGGCCTGCTTACCCCTGACATTCTGCCGTGGTGTTTTCTGGCTGGTACTCTTCTGGGCGAGTTACGATGGTTCGGTTTTGCCCTTAGCTTTTTCGGCCAGCGGACTGTAGTTGTATCACGGTGTTTTCAAGGAAAAGTTAATTTTTAGAACGATTTTGGCGCTAGGCGGAGTTTGAATGTGTTAACTGCTCCGATAGCCGCCGGTAGCCTAGTAAGCATTTTACCCGGCCCTTCCTCTGTGTAAACAGACCCTTTATTCGCTTTATATTACTAAGCCCAATGTTATTGGTGAGGGCAAGGTTCTTCAAAGCTGGCTTAAGATAACCCAGGGTTAGTGCGAAATTAGAATTCGAAAATGTGAGCTTAAAAGTAAATTCAGTTCAATTATTTTTGCCTACAATTTCATGAGAAGATGCTCTAAACAAAGAATAGAGGAAAATGCTTTCGAAAAATTTTAACAACAGGCAAAAAAAAAAACCAGTTTAAAGCTTAATTTAACCTGGATTTTCCCTAATCGGCCTTCGAACAACTGAGCCCTAACTGGTTCCTTTTTTTTGATACTGATAATAGCTGCCCTCTGCTCAGGCGCTTGAGAACGAGAAGCAGTATTTACATTGTTACAATTGTACCGAGCCTACCAAGATACTTCATAAATTATCTAACTATTTCTAGACTTTTAACATTAGGTTTTGGTATAATCATTATTAGTATATACACACTCAGTGACCTTGGTGATTTAAGCAATCTGATTGGTTCGCTATCTCGGACTATTCAACAATATTCACCTCCTAGCGAGTGGATAATGTGTGAGCTCAGTGTTTTTCCCATTTTTTAGAGAACGATCTTTTAAAAGTCGACAGAATCCTAGGGCTGACTTTTTTTAAGGCAAAAAAAGACTTGGAAGGATTCAATACGGCGTTTTTCAATTTACTGTAGCAGGAGCTTTGTGCTTGATGGATTGTTTACAACTCCCGTGTATTCGCGTAGAAGAAGCCGTTGCGTGAACTCAGCGTTTTCTAAGAAGAAAATTTTGGCTCAAAAATCGAAGTTTATTTATGACAAACAAATTTAAAAGGAAATGTTTGCAGAAATTCTACGTTTCAAGTAAACGGGAAAAAGAATGATACAGAAAGACGACGTCTTACCTCGAGCAACTGAGCCGCCATTTTTGTCAGCACTTCATGCGAAGAACGACACAACAAACCCTTTTGCTTTTGGCTATAAACTTCGTCTTGGCGAGTCAACAGAAAAAAACACAGCTCTACTTTTCATCTCAGGTAAGGAAACAGTTAAAACTTTTAGCGGTTCCATTTAAGCCATTACGCTGTTGTTTGCGAAATGATAAACTTGTGAATTGCCATGTTTGAAATTTCTGCAAAGATCTATTTTTAAACTTACGCGTGATTTGATGTGTCAATCAAATCGTACTTTTGAATGGTTTCCTCTCTGATTTTGTTGAGATCACTTCGTGTGTATATACTAAAACAATTATTCTTTTCAATCTCGGTGAATAGTGGCTTTGCGAATATTTACCTCGCCGCTTTCGCGTCTCGGTAAATATTTTGCCACTATTCACCTCGATTTCAAAGAATAATTGTTAATTATTGTATGGAAAGAGCCATTAAGATTTGAGCCGCCGACACGCCTTACCGAGTAAGCTGCCTCTTCCTCGATCAGTTCATAGTTTAATTCTCCATAGTAAATCTTCAGCTTGAGAAAATAATCTCTATGGGACAAAGAACAAATAAGGGACTGTGCAATAATTATCAGGAGGGGGCGGGGCGGCTGAAAAACTAGAGTTATCTAGCAAAAACTTAGACACTACCCCCCCCTCCAAAACAAAAAAAATTAGTTCTAACCCCCCTCTGTTATGTTAAAAATAACGTCGCACCCCCCCCTCCCACCACCCACTTAGCCTCTTCTCTGAAAACACTGGTAAACTCAAAAATGGACTGAGCTGCCATCACAGCTTCAATAATGACAAACGTTATTATGTAACATCTAGTATCGAGAAGGATGTTGCCCGCTTGATTGAAGATTTAGACAAAGCATTTGCTAAGTACCGGGGTGCTTACCACATTGGCTCAAAATCTAAAACTTCTGAAGCCAGAAAGAGAAAGGAGCAGAGAAAAAATCAAAGAACAGGAGATTGAACGCTTCAAATAACAGACGAAAAAGAGCTTGCATTACATTTAGATCCTTGGGAGGAGAGCCTGTTGAACTTTGTTATGAGCCAGATATATATGGAATTCAGCAAATCGATTCAGTCGATGAAGAAACATTACTTTTATTCACTTGTCTACGAGATCTGTTTGATTCCCATTGTTTTATGGGGAAAGCTGAAAAACAAGTTCATGATTTTTGCTTTACATAGGATCAGCTCAATTAATTAGAAGACGGGTTAAAATTGATCAGTTGTGAATTTTTTTTTCATTTTGATGGAATATTTTCAATAATCATCAACAGCTGTTCGTATTGATATTTCAGTTACAGTCTATCATGATGCCTGTATTGAGAATCTTTTATTGCGTTTAATTTTATTCACACTTCGAATAAAACTTAAGGCCCCCCCTCCGTCAAATGATTTATTTTACTTTGAGACCCCCCTATCTTGGCATCAATTTTATGTAATGCCCCCCTCTGATTTTTCAGCCCCCCCCTCCTGATAATTATTGCACAGTCCCTAAATCAATTACCGAGTTTCACACTTACACACAGAGCGCACTTTGATAGGACACTGGTGTTATGACTGGAGTATTAAAGAATTGACGTTTGTACATTTATGTGAAAAGCTTTTGTTTGTTTTGTAACTTTTCATCGCTAATCAACCATTGAAATTTAGTTTAATTGCTACGAAAACAGCTGTCATCATCATCACCAGTATCATTATCATCATCATTATCTTCATTATCATCACTATCAATTATCAATATCAATATCAATATCAATATCAACATCAACATCAACATTAACATTAACATTAACATCAATATCAATATCAATATCAATATCAATATCAATATTATTATTATCATCATCATCATCATCATCATTATCATTATGCTTACTACCTCTTATCAGATTTTTCCATCGATTTATGGACTAAGGGCGAACTCATCCATAATAATTTTCTTAAGGGCTTCAGACGAGATCATGATCTCATCCACAGGTATTTCTCATGGGGCTTCAATTTTTTTTTAACTCATCCGTAGGTATTTCTAAGGGGGTTAGGATTAACATTACTTCTGAAAGACTAAAAAAAAGGATTAAATTAACTGCAAAAACCGTGAACATCATCCATGGTAGGGGTTGGTGTATATTAGATGGAAGGGCCCCAGATGCGCTCGGTAAGCTTATGTTTGTTATCTTATTTGTGGCTCGTTTTCTCTTGGACAAAACATCTCGCATCTCTGCCCGTCGATTTACATCTTCTTTACTGTGTACTGCGATGAAATTTTCAAACACTGACTAGAGTGCTCTTCTTCGATAAGATTACAATTCAGTTTCTTCATCGCCCTCGCTCACATATAAACACAGGTTAAAATGTTGAAGTTCTCATGGTTGACAGACGTCTTACAAATTTCTTTAAACCTTTTTTCGAGATAGAGCAGCGATAAGCATTTGCTTTTGAGATTTGGTCCGCATAGCAAGTTACAGACTTAACCATAAAATAATAATAATAATAATAATTGTTGTTGTTGTTGTTACGTGATGATAATAATGATTCTGATTATGACTGCTGGTGATGATGATGATCATTTAATAATTATTGAATAAGGCTGAGTATGAAGTAAAGAATTTTGCAGATCAGAGGATACAGCCTCCATGATCAGCCTCCCTGTACCATTTCTGTCTTTTATCGGATATCTCAAAAATCTTCCAAATTTTGTCATCGCTAGTTGGCTTTGAAGAATTAGCACGGGGATTCAGCCAACCAGAAACGGAGAAAAATTTTGAATGAATATTAACTAGTACTATCTTACCCAACGTCTCCCCTGTTCTCAGTTATATTAGGAACGTGCCGTTCTAATTCACCAAGGAGAGAAGTCTGAAAATTAAAGTAAAAAAAATGAAAGACTTCAGGGTTATTGAATCCATTTTAAGATTATCGCAGGAACATTCGGAAATAACAAGAGTCACACTGGAAAAAATTAACATGGCATTATATCAATTTAGACCTGATTCCCTCTTTTTTTTGTGAATCTCCTGGTCCGATTGCAATTGACCACTTCAGAAAATACCATAACATATCATAATGCTCTTTTTCTGTCACTCCAAAATTTTGCATGAGCATTGTTTTCAATTTCTCTTGGGGCCATTTTAACTCACAAGAGAAACTGAAGACAATGCTTATGCAAAATTCGGGGTGACAAACAAAGAGCGTTATGGTATGTTATGGTATTTTCTGGAGTGGTCAATATCAGTGTTGATAAGATCTTGGTAGTGATGACGTAAGTAGAAACAAACACCGCTTCTCTTGAATTTTCTAGAAAATTCTTGCTATTTAATCCTCACACTTTTTACTCTCACTCAAATCAACGTTGGGGAAGGGGAAACGCATGGAAGTGTTTCAAGATTGATTGATTGACGGGGATTGTAGGTTAGTGGTATGTTTCTACATTAGCTTTCTGAGCACAGAGGACGTATTTACAATGACACTTAGAGTTAATTAGTCAAGGAAAGAGATTTAATCTATACCAAGTATTGTCTTGAAGGCCACCTTGCCATGGAAACAGATGACTTGAATTCGTCTTCCCTTCATTGAGGAGAAATGGAGAACATCATGAAAAGCAACAATAATTAAAACCGTGAGCATTCCGGAATCCAAGAAAATTTTGCGTGTGGAATCCAGATTCCTGGGCTTTGGAATTCGGAATTCGGCTCAAGGAGTCCGGAATCCCTCTTTAAGGATTGGAATCTGGAATCCAGAATCCAAGACTGTCTCGTTTTACCTTACATGGAGCTATTCTTAATGCACGATAATAGCCAAAAAAAGCTTAAAATTTAAAAGAAAAATTGTATTTGTATTTGTATTTTATTTTTTACTCCATCCTATAATACATTAGTTGTACAATAATACAATAGTTGTACAATATTAATAATACATTAGTTGTACAATATCAATTGGTACAAAGTTGCTTAAACTACGTGTACTTAATAATAATAATAATAAAAGAAGAAAATTAGAATGGAGTAGGGCACATTATAGTAAAACTAATCATGGCCCTTTAACAAGATTGACTTTATTCTTTTGTAGTTTTGTTATTCATTAAAACACAAACACGCAGGCACGCACACACACACGCACACAAGTCAATATTGAGCAAGATAATATTTTTTATGTGCCTTTTTGAACAGCATTTTCGATGATTTATTGCGAATAGAAAGGGGGAGATCGTTCCAATAGTATTTTCCAATGACGGTAGGGCAAAACTACTCCGCCACCAGACGAATAGGTACATGTTCAAATAAAAGACAACAGGAACTCTTACAAAGGAACTCTTACACGAAAAAAACTAAAGTATTTAAAGACACAAAAGACACAAAAAGGCAACGCAAACTACAGCTTCAAAAAACGTGGCCATCATCATCGCTGAGCGTGGCTGGATTGGTAAGAGAAACTTGCTATAAAAAAGGAAAGAGTTAAAGTTTAACGTTCAAATAAAGCCTGGTTTCCATAGAATCGATACAACCACTTGCACGATCATTTACTTTTCAAACTCATAGGTGTGGCAGCAATTTTCCCTGGGGACCGACCGCTGGCCAAAGAGCCAGAGGACTCTAGACACGAGAGTGAACGGCAGCGATCGTTGCGGTTGCGAAGACGCAACGCTCAATACAATACAATATTTTTTCAGTGAGCCTAACGATTGTGGCGATGGAAACCAACCTTAGCTTAATGGACAAAGTTTTACCTGCATTGTTCTTTACACTGATTGTTGCAAGCACCGTCATGAAATTTGTCGACTACTTCATTGACGCAAACCACTGCAAAAAGAAGGAAAAATTCCTGTTACACTAATTTAGGTTTTTTCTTTTTTACGTGAATTTTTTCTTCCTTAAAACACTTGCTTAAAGCAAATATCTGAATGACCTAAAACAGATTTTAGCAGATTTAAATAATTAACGGCCGGAACGCTCAAGGCGAGGATTTTTGTTGTTGCGGAATAGCTGTTGGGCTCTAAAATTAACCCTGTTCAAGTCACATGATTGCTACCTGAGTGCCCAATAAACTGATAGCTGAGAACTGGGATGAGAATTATTTGTACGTGTCAAATAAGATTAGAGAACTCCCATTCTGAACCTGTTTCAACAGTGTTAAGGTCAACAACCAGACCCTAGAGCATAAAGTAAATTGCTCATACCAGTTGTTGGTTTTCACACGACGTCACTAAAATTCAAACTAAAAAACTATCGATCCTACCGAGATTTTACTTTTACCATGCATTAGAGCAGCTGAAAACTAATTTTCATACAAATTTACGCTTCTTGGTTTTGTGATAGAGTACGCTTGAATTTCTAATCTTTTGCGTGACGCGGCATTTACCTGACGGCCAAGAGAGCTGTCATGTAGGTTAAAAAAAATGACTTAGTTCAGGAAATTTTGCTATCTTAACAGTTCATGTACTAGAAAAAGTATTACTTTAATGTTAATGAGTTTCTCGAAGAATAAATTCACGCCTTTGTAGCAAAACTCGGTAACAGATGTTTCTGTTGCCTAGTCCCTGTACGGCGTTTTCCCAGTGCCTCTCGGTCAATTCGTTTCAGTGACGTATCCGAGACGAACGGGCGGGGAACATTTTCACATGGATCACGTGACCTGAAACGCTTTGGCCGCGAGGAAAAATGAGGCCTAGGGACTAGGCAAATGTTTCTGTTGGTTTCCGTCCGCCATGTTGGCGCTTATCCAGGTGAGCACCAGCCTGGCGTCTCCATACAAATCTCTATAAGTTTGGGTAAAACATTTCTTCGGATATCTCGTATACGAAATATTCCTCTGACCTGAATCTCGGCGAGGGTCTTTATATGTATCTCCTTTCATTTCCCAGATTCTGGACTTGATCTATCGAACGGTTTTGATTTCTATTTTGATCTATTTTGAATGGCGTAACACTGAAAACCAGCAATTGCCGCATGAGAGAAACGAGAATAGATTTCAAATAATTTTCATAAAAAGAGGGCCAAGCTTGGGGGATTCACTTTCTTATTCTTATATATTCTCTCTTGCACAAAGCTAACACCCCAAATGGTGGAATACACCGCAAAACACAAACATTAGAACATAAAAAATTAAGTATACACGCATAGTTAAATCAGTCTATATATGTGCAAAGGGGCTTACCGACTGTCATATTTTCAATGTCACATACAGGAATGTTCGCGTCGTAGCTTATCGAGTACCAAACGCAGCCACACTTCTCATTCATCAACTCAGCAAAGCACGACATCTTGCAAAGCTGATTAGATAAAATAACAATATCAATTGTTGCGTTAATTTTTCTTTTGTTTTGTTTAGCAATGTTTAACGAATTATAAATTAAATTTAAGTACATACAGCTATAAAAGATAATAACTTCCTACAGAAAAAACCTACTTTGGGGACACTAAAAATAGTACAATAATATTTTATCGTAAGTATAATCTATTTAAAATATTTTAAAACACTTAAAAACTCTAGCTAAGAAAAATTTTGACACTACTAGCTTAATTGAGATAATAAAGTACTCAAGATTAATCTATGAAATCCTTGATGAAATCACGCTTTAGATTGAACTTAAAGGAAGATATAATACTATTTAAAATATTTTAAAACACTTAAAAACTCTAGCTAAGAAAAATTTTGACACTACTAGCTTAATTGACATAATAAAGTACTCAAGATTAATCTATGAAATCCTTGATGAAATCACGCTTTAGATTGAACTTAAAGGAAGATATAATACTGACTCGAGAGTTTTAAAAGACAGCTTTCCATGGAGTTCCAGAAACTGACTATTCTATAATAAAACGTCCTCTGACCACCATCAGTCTTAAAAAATGGAATGGTATTCAGCACGCCCGCCTGTTGTAAAAAATTCTAAATTGTAATTTGTTTACCCATAAAGCACTTAATAGGAGTTCTTACGAACTCGTTTAAACGTGTTCGTGTGTTCCAGATCGAATTTGAATTTGGAAGTGTTGGTTTTTGAGGAGAGGGGAAAACCAGAGTGATCGGAGAAAAACCTCTCGAAGCAAGGGAGAGAACCAACAACAAATTCAACCCACTGATGGCTTCGACGCCAGGATTTGAACCTGGGCCACATTGTTGGGAGCCGAGTGCTCTCACCACTGGTCCACCCTTGCTGCTTATTTCTTCTCGCTTGGTGAACTGGGAGGAAAGGTACTCCGGCACGCGGGATGTTAGGCATTTAGAGGCCATGATAGCGTTTCTAAAGTATAACTGAGTTGCCACTGGTAGCCATTTAACCTCTTTTAAAACTGGTGTGATGTGATCATATGTGCGCATACTGGTGGCAATTCGAGCAGCAAAGTTCTGAATACGTTTAAATTTACTCTGGACGAAGATTTGCATCAAATTTGATCATGTGCAAATTTGTGCAAACTGAGAGATAAATCTGTTCAAAAGTGGTTAAATGTCACATTTGCACAGATTTATTCCGCATTTTGCAAAAATTTGCATAAAATTTGCGCTGAGCAAATTTGAAACAAATTCATTTTTTCGTCCATTACTTTTTTACGTACTTTTTTAAAATGACAATGACAAAATCGAACCCAAGGTGGAACTCATCCTAGAGATATCTCCAAGGCTCACTTACCATGGAGGTGTAGGTCACATTGTACCGTCTAAAAATGTTATTCCCTTCTATCAGTTCATCACCAGTTTCTATGCAACTTCTATTTTCAAATGGATCGAGCCTTCCAATTGCAACCTATGTATCCAAGACAGCAAGAATATGAAGAGATGAGACAAAAATGATCTCACTGTTCATTGAGTACTGAAGTTGCACCCGTGCCATTATAATCATTAACGCAATCTCAGACCTGCATGAAACGGCTCGCCCCATGTAAGAGAATCCGGAATCCGGATTCCGGATTCCGGGAAATTTTTACAGGTGGAATCCGGAATCCTTGGCTTTGGGATCCAGAATCCAAGTTCTACGGATAAAGACTAGAATCCGGTACCCGGAATCCGGAATCCACAGCATGGAATCCAGAATCGAAGACTGTCTTGGATTCCCTTAAATGCAGCGAAACTTCTTTCTGCGTAAAGGAAAAAACGTTTCCGATCAGGTCAAGAAAAAAAAAGGTTAGAACCGATTCAAACGTGGCACTATTACCTAGATGCCAAGCTGGCTTTATTTTAAAACGACTTTGTTTCGGGATGTCGAATTAAATTCAGTGGAATAAAATATTTAACAATTATTGGACGAGGTTGAGCAAAATATCGTGATTTGTCAGTGGTGAGGAGATGAAATATTTACCGAAGCAAATCACGATACATATTGCGATAACTGAGTTTAATAATCGTTTTATCATTCGATCACCGAGTTTGTTTTTAATAAATATCTTTGGGAAGCAAAGCGATTTGCCATTTGCAATCAAGAGCGATTACAAGAAGGAGAAAAGCATAGTTTTTATTCACGCATGAGCAGAATATTATTTGCAGCCAAACACAGTTGGACGTGGTGGGGTCTCGGCCATGAAAAGGAAGAAAAATCTGCTTCGAATGATAATTTTATATAGCTGTTGTCGAAGACAAAACATGAAAATATTAATAAGTCAGTTTAACAAATTTCTGGTTAAGAGTTAAGTCAGTCGTCATTCATGATCTCTAGCTACAGCGAGATGGTTTATCTTAACCAGACCTCTTATAAGTAGGCACCCTGTATTTTATGGCAACACTGAAATAGCATTTTCCCCGATATTTTCTGTTTTATTGATTCCTTTGATCGAGTATCGAAATAAGGTCGTAAATCAGTCTCTGATGGCAAACGTGAAACAAGCTACATTCATACATACACCGTTTACAGGTAGCCATTACGACACCTGAAGGAGGATCATGTAATATATCAAACATGAGATGCAGTGTTTCATCACCAGATGAAACACCGAGAAGAGAGTTGAAAATACGACGCGCAGCGGAGTATTTTTGACGAACTTCGAGGTGTTTCATCTGGTGATGAAACACTGTGTCGAATGTTTGATATTTCTTCTCAAACAAAATCATTTTTGAAGGAGAAATTAAGGATGCAAATACTAAGCAGTGTTTCATCCGATTTCCAAACACTCATTAAACATTAATTTCCTTTGTATTTTGTTAATGAATTATTAATGAGATTGAGAAGTATATATCCCCGGCTATATTAAGATCTCTCCTGGCCACGAGATCTGACCGGTCTACGTCCCCTAATCTTTTTGAATGATGTTGTGGCTTCTTTTACTTCCCACTAGGTAAGTGAAAAGTGCCGTGAGAAGGGATCAAAGGGTTTTCGTTCCTCCAAGCTCTGTGCTCTCTTATGGCTGGTGAGGGTCTTATTGTTTTGCTTTTACCTTTCGAAGCTCAATCGCCGTAGAAAAACCGGGAGAAACACTTATTCCTTGTTCATAAGGGAAGGGCATTTCTCTCTGTCCTCCGATAAAAACTCTTATGCCGGCCTCTTGTGAAAGCACGCTCACATAATCCAACTGTTCGATGTTTATTTCTAAGGTTAGCCCTGCAGAAAAATAAATAAATAAATAAACTTGCCATGTATTAGCCTGTTAAGATGTGAGATGTTCTTGAGATAACCAACTTTATTAAGAACTGAATCATTGGTTAATATAATTTCCAGAGCTCTGATTAGCTTAGCCATTATTACATATGAGCCATTATACCATGCTCTCCAATTTTATGGTAACTGTACGCCTATGCTCAAAATTAAAAACAAGCTGAAAATCGGTTGTTTTTATAAAAAAAGTTGGGAAGAACTCGCTATTTTTTGGGCGTTTTTAATAAACAATTATTCCACTCGCGCTTGTTGGATATGAGATGATTGTAGCCATCCACCATCTCATATCCAACGCACATTCTTGGAATAATTATTAAATATTACAAAAGTACGAAATTATATGTTGATTTCTCAGTAGCTCCTAGTGCCATGGCTGAGGTTAAGAAGGAAAATGAAGGATATTCAGTTGGGAAGTGATCAAAATGTACATCGATCACGACCTTCGCTTGAATTCAGCACCGATATGCAATATCTAACCACAAAATCTAACATAAAAGTCTGTTGTAAGAATTTTAGTCAGTTACCAAGGCCAGCTTGTGACGAATTCATCACTTCTGTGGTTTCACCCACATCGTTAATTCCTTTGTTGAACGTATAACAGTTGCCATATAGCTTATGCCAGAAATGTGTCCATGAGTTGCGCATGTCTTCTTCCCTGAAAATAATGGTGAATAGTAGTATAAAAGATCCAGGACCCATTGTCTTTTTACTTGAAAAAAAAAAACCTTCAACTCTGACAATCACTAATTGGAGACTTAAATCACGTCCAATAGGCCATTTCCGAGTTCCCCCGGGCCTCTGTTTCAAAACGAGGGTAGGTGCTCAGCCTTTGATATGGTAATCATTTTTCATTCTCATGCAATAAAACTCATTTTCAAAAGAAAGGTTGTGCACCTAGCCTCATTTTGAAAGCGAGGGTTTTTGGAACTCGGAAGTGGCCTATTACGTCTAAAGATTAGTTTTAATGCGTGACGTGCAACTTCAATGTACGTAGACATGATGTCCTGATTTCAAAACTTTTGCTACTTTGGATCCGTCATCATCGGGTCTTTAAGAATATCTTAATTCTCTTAAAATGCCAAGCGGGGTCGAAATTGACCAAAATTTATAAGACTTTGTTCAATGAAAGTAACCCGTTAAAGCTTAAATTCCAAATTTGGAATAATTCATTCTAGTGCAAAAACATTTTCATAGTATCTGTACTGTCAGTCTTCAATCAACCCAACAATTCGAATTAGTCCTTTTTCCACCCTAGAAGGTTTGAGTGTGACTCCATTATACTCACAAGCAGTCTATGTAGTTGAAGGCGCAGCCTATAATCATGTCCTCCAGTTGATGTCCATAGCTGATAAGTTTCTCTTCAGGAATTTTGGCAAGACTTGTTAAAACTCTTTCAATAAGACTGTCTTTTTCTGGAAGATCGTTAACATTTGGGAGGCCCTTTGCGTTGCTATTAGCTCTTGAACTCCTTGATGTAGTTTTGTTCGACCGTTTAAGTAATGCTATTAAAACATAAGATAAGGGAAACTTATCATTTGGCTAGAAAACTGAAAAGGAAATTTTAATTTCAATTTATAAACAAAGCATAATATCAGCCACTAATTTTCAATTATAGAACGGGATAACTTACACTCGTCCAGTAATTCAGGATATTCTTGCAGTATTTCATTTGGAAATTTTGACTTGCGAATCATGTTAATGTTACAAATAGTGACTTGAGGAAAGGAAAGTTTCTGCAAGGAAAAGCAACTAATGCATTAATGCATTTTCAATTACAGAGATTTAACACAACATGACGTCACGTGACACTACACTTGCTCTGCCTAGCCAGCGTCGCGGACGGGCGGCCAAAACCCAAGGGTTAAAAAGGGAAAGGATTCTGAGAGAGAAATAGCCTGCAAAGCAGACGTATTTTGCAGTGTTAGTGATGATACTGTTCGGCTCTCCCGCCTTCTTGAACGTTGAACAGTGATCGAGAGTTGGGGCGAGTTAAAAAATGATTCCAAGGGAGAGGACACGGCTTGCTTTGAAGATGTTGGCCTGGTGGCCACCAACAATGTAATGAGCTTTCGTTTAAAAAAACGCTTGAATTCCAGGCTTCATTCCTTTTCCCTCTCACTTTGCTGCCTTTCCTCTCCCTTTATGTGCTTACAACTGCAGACCTAACTCTGTGTGTCTTACTCTGTGCCAACAGTTCCGCAGCGAGTCAGTTTTGTGCCTCACCACATTACGCTAGACGTTTCTAAGTTGAAAGAGGACGATATAATCACATAACACGCGTATTTTCCTCTTTAAAATTTTCAATCTTTATTTTCCCAAATAGGGACCAGGGTTTAACCACGCCCCCGACTGTCCCATCTAAAAGAACATTCTCTCTTGCTCAAAGCCAATACCAATCACACATTAACGAGCCATACCTTATCATGCATGATTTTAATTCTTGTTTTCAGAGGTCGCGATAAGTACTGCTCCGTGATAAAATACAGCTGCACACTGAAGGCCACAAATGCACCACAACAAGCTAACAACCAGAACCATTTTCGCGCCCGCGATTCACCGGCATCGGCCACACGTCCATAGCCATGCGCAGTAGTGTGACCACAGAATTCAGAAACCTTGTGTTTTATCTGACTTAATAATCCTTCTCTTGGTGATGTGGACATTGATCCTCAATTTTACCTGTGCTTTTTTTAAAAAGGTAGTATTTAAAATATTATTAACAGAAAAGAATCGTCAGTGATAATTTTTCAGTTAAATTTGTAATATTATTTTTGGCAAATATCTTAAGCGTATATTGTCTTCAGTATTTGGAGAGTGTCAATTTCAAGGATATGGTTTGAAGCAAATATGGGTGAAGACGCCCCTATAAAAAACTTTCTATGCGTTCAATTAGTCACGGACTATTTCTAATTTAGATGGAAGACAATATGTTTGAACGGAGTGATAAACTAATGGTTTTGAAAATGGTATTAAAGTCGGAACTGCTATATATTATCTGAACCACATATAGCCCCGCCGACAATAGCTGAGAATAATCCACAGCTACATTTTTGACTGGAGAAAAAGTGAAAAAATGGCCTGAGAAAACAGCCGAAATTACGTGACGTCTCCACTGGTTTTCCCGCGAAATGACATCTGAAAAACGAGCGCAGAAAGCTTTTGAAGCGTTCCAAACAATCATTCCAACAGTCGACTGTTTTCTCAGGTTGATATAAAAAGTGGAATGTATTGATTTGAAGAAGAGCCTAGAGTGCTGCTGTCAAACATTGTCAGGGAAGAAAAATTTTTGTTTGGGATTCCTTTTAACATCGAAATGAATCAGGAGTCCGCATGGTATCACTTTGAAGGGTCACGTCAATCATGAAAAAGTCTAGTCCCTCGGCCTTATACCGCGCGGTCAATGCGTTTAGAGTCCTTGCGAGTCTGTCTCGGCTACGTCACCGAAATACCTCTACCGAGAAGGCCTGGAAAGACGCCGTACGGGGGCTAGGCAATAACCCTCATCACTGGCGGCCCGAGCTCTACACGTGATTTCATATTGCGTAATCCTTAAAATGGTCGTGAACATAAAGGATTTGTATGGGAATTCAGGTAAAAGATTCAAGAAGATAAATACTCGCTAGAATTTTCAATAAAATACACCTTACCTTAGTTACTTTACTTGCTTTTGCTGCCTATGTGGTTATATTATTTTTCCGATCCACTGCGATTTAATCGATTTCCTTTAACCCCAAGTTTCCACGCTAAGAGGAAGGACAAGGCTATACATTCCAGTTCTGGATGCCTGATGCTAAGGCGAAAAATCCTTAGCTTAAAATGTCCAAGCACCCACAAACCCAACACCTAAAACAAGCTAACATGACCTTGTTTCATTTCACCTCATTAGCCAAGCAATCTGGCCAGTGCAACCGACGTCCTCTATGTTCAGTATGTTCGCGGTCGATTTTAAGGATTACCAAGAGAGGATAAAGGGGACAGAGAAGGCATCCCCCATACACACCCTATTCTATAGGTAATTCGTCTCGAGTTATTTTTAAGACACACATACTCCAAGGGGGATTACACAACAGCCAATCTCATAGCGCGACTGTGTTCCGCGTGAATGACCCACGCTCAGAGCCACGCGTCCTTTAGGAATTGAAGCAGAAAAAAATGACGGAAGACTCGGAGAGCAATATTGCTATTCGTTTTGTCGACGAAAACGACTAAAAAGAGATTTCTGCTAAAGCGGTGTGAGCGAAATGGAAATTAAAAAAGAATCGCGCTTCCTCCCTTGTATGGAGCTAACAGTACAGCAGGGAAATCCTTAACAAGTGATTATTCTCTCAGGATCATTTATTGTTTACAGTTTGAAGAGAGCAATTTCTGGTTTGACATTTATTCTTTTATTAGTCTTTTATTTTTCAACAAAAATAACGCTTGGCGTCCTACTTGCTTTATTGTACAAACGACCGGTTTCAATAGACCGGCGAAATTTCTCATTTTATTTAAGCACTGAGGTTACCACAACTTCGAGTTAAACTGATTTTACGGGTTGTAAAAGAGTCCAGCGATTCCCTTTTCCCAGGTGAGCGCCGACTCATTTCGCTTCAATATTCAGAAATCCTCTAAATGTCTTAACGCTTTATTTGTCTTTCGCCCGACATGTTTTGCACGGCGTTTAGTCATGCGAAACTTCCACGAAACATCCAAGCAGCGCGCGAGGTAACTTTATACCGATTCTAAAAATAACTCGAGACCTATGGAATAGGGTGTGTATGGGGAATGCCTTCTCTGTCCCCTTTATCCTCTCTTGGGGTTACTCAATATGAAACCACATGTATTAATAATTAAACTCTTATACAGAGCTTGGGCCGCCTGTGCTGTCATAGATGACATTGGTCACCGCGTGTATCAGGTTATTAATAGATTCATTTTTTCGCTCCAAAAAACTATTTGCGTATCAAAGGAGAATAGGAAAAAGAGTATTAGAAAAGGAGGGGTGTGAACAAAATCCTTTGTTGTAAGCGGGGGCTAATAAGTACTTTTGCACTAAGAAAAAATGTGAAAAAAGGAACTCGTACAAAGTCAGGTTTGTTTTCGTTGCGGGTAGATTTAATTAATTTTGATGATAACAAAAGTACCATGCTGTAGTTGCTTGTAGACAAATGTTATGTAATCGTCAGACGCGGAACAAATTTGTCAATATTTTGGCTAAAACTACTCTTTGCCAACGATCCAAAACTCCATCACTGACTCGGACTGTAAAATTAATGAAAGTAAAGTGTTGGGGGGTTGGGGGGGAGGAGGGGGGGGGGGAGACAAATGTTAGCCAACGTAATGAGAAATTGCCGGCTGCTGGCCGGGGATTGCGTCGCTACTATTTCTTACATCATTTTAGGGTCATAAAAAGAGGCTAACTGTAGAGGAACATAAATCTTTAGTTGTCTTAAATAAGCCCTATATCTGCTGGCAGAAAATCTCCTTTTTCAAAACTACAAGCTAAAAGGCTTTGAATTTACAGACATTTTCCATACCGGGTAAAGCAAACGGTGTATAAGTCCCGCTGTTATTAGAATTTAGGGCAGCAGTTTCTTGAATATAGCCCCTGAAAAAATTTCTCACCTCGCACTAAAATATCCTTTTGAGGGACTCTCAATAGATGTGATTCCTGGAGCATGTTTCGCGAAGGTCCCGGTGACTTTTCGGGCCCGGAAAACTGCAGAGCTTTGTTTTTGCAGCTTTTACATTGGGATTAAAGTTTCAATAATTTTGAAAATAGTAAAATTAAACACTGGCAATCAGTTCAAGAAGCACTGGGAACTGTGTTACTATTCAACAGGTTTGGATTTTGAAATTTGTCTTCGGGCTCGAAAAGTTTCCGGGGCTTTCGAGAAATGAACCCCTGGCCAATTAAGGTCGGTGTCGAACCTGAGCGAGTTATGCGAAATTGTGGAAACTTCTACAGTCGCAGGTGGTTCTATAGACTGTTATTATCTATGATTATCGCGGAATACAAATGACATATTTTATACCACTAAAAATGTTTTCTACTGCACCAACTTAGGAAATTATGCTCTTTGTGTTTAATTCGCCTGCTTTTCAAACTAGTGGATAAATTTAGTATGTTTCCGACGAAATCGTGACACCAACGCCGAGGAATACACCACAGTTACGTTAAATTTACTAAACTGAAAAATAGTTATCTCGATCTTTTAAACCTAGAAAAACGTAGTCTGATGAGGCTCAAAATAGGCATTGAGATAAAAACGGAAAAGTAAACATCTGTTTAAGAATCGAAACTTGACTTAAACTTGCCCACTTAATATTTTTAAAAGTTTAGACTTTACTTGGAGTGCACTAATTGAAAGCAGAGAAATGCACCAAAATATGAAACGCGCGGCACTGTTTTCAAAGAATGGCATTTTAGATTATGATCAGATCAATATTCGGGGTTGGAATTGAAGTTTTTGGTGCAGGAGCAAAACGTGTCTACGTAAAAGGAAACTTTAATTTTAAAAGAGTTGTTTTACTCGAAAAGAGCTAACAAATTACCCACCTAAAAGTGAAATTTCATTTGCAAAAAAGTATGCAAAATTGAACTATATTCATAGTATCCTCTTTACTTTCTAAAAATGGCCTTTAGTTGAAGAATGGCGCGAATTGATCTGACTGGTCTCAACACCCTTCTCTTTATCTTATCCTAACCTTCAGTTCTCACCTTATAGCCGTGACCAACACTAACAATTTTTTTTTCTCTTAATGGAGAACTGATTATAAATAGGTGCAGTGGCTATGACTGGGGTCTTCTCGATCTCGGCTTGGGACTCGCTTTGTCTAGTGACTCATGGCAGTGTATTGGGCTGAGATGTCGTCATTGTCGAACAAGCCTGAGACGGTTAAGAGCTATTGTGCTTATCCGGAAGATAACATGCATAAATTAAACTCAGAGCTCTTTCCCTCTTAATTTTCAAGAGTGCGAGTATGTTCTGGCCACAAAAATTTTCAGGCAACGTTTAACTTTTTCACCTCCTTTCACTGCAAAAAAAGTTACTGATTCGCAGTGATCTTTAAAAAAACTTGCGTGTTGCGTGTTTGCGAGTGTTAGTTTCGAGTCCATAACACAAAGAAACCAGAATGCGTTAAACTAGCTTGTCTAGTTAGAGAAGGTTTCTTCTCCAGAAGAATTCGATGAAGGTTTAATCCGTGGTCCCCTTTTTTGTCTATCGGGATCAAAGTGTTGCTAAAATGTACGAAAACTAAAACTGGCCCTAAAACAATTTGAAACAGATAACTTACCTCATTAAAAACTGTAACAAGAAGAGCGAGGTTTAAACAAATGCGATGTTATTTGGTGAACTTGAAGTTAATCAATAATTTATGTCAGTATCTGACATTATAATAATTTGGTGCCGGAAAATTTTCAGTTAAGAACAATTGTAATAGCCGGGTGTAATAGTAGTCAGTGATATTTGATTATCAAAAATAAATAGACTGACTGAGACTGAGAACACTTGAAAACATATCGTTTTCATTTCTTCATCATGCTACTTCATTTCCGTCAAACCCAATCAATGGGTTGGATTAATGGAAGGCTAATGAAATCGGTTCCGTCATTGCAGATGGTTATTGTGTTATATCTGGTTTAACCAAATCATCTTCAAAGCCATTTTGCCTTTCCTTC